TGATATTTTGGATTCTAACATACTTGACTTAATATTTTCCAACACTCGACCTTTTGCTCACAGTCATACATTTTGCAGAGTGGAATCTGACATTTTCTATTGTGACATCAAATTTTGATGGAAATGTCTGCAATGTTCTCTAAGGGAAGTACTTTGAGAATAAGTTGTAACAAATGTTGAATAGATCATGAAATTTTCTAATATGACAAATATACAGGCTTTATGAAATCTGATCTTAAATACTTGCAAGATATTCAGCTGCAATTAATAAATCCGCTCTTGTTTGACAAAGCAGGTTTCGTATTTATATCACACCAGCATGTTCTATTTATATATAATATTTTATACTAGATGCTAATTATACTCCAATCATGCCATAATTCTGATAAGATAATGCTATAATAAAGTTATGCATAAACCACTATATACATATGTTACAAATTGAATAAAATAAGACAGTATTTCCTGTATTACCATTAATATTCAATGAAAAACAGAATTGAGAATGGAAATGAGACAACAACTCGACCAAAGAGCAGAAAACAGTCCAAGGCCATCAATGGGTATTCAACACAGTGAGAAAATCCCGCACTTGGAGGCGGGCTTTAGCTGGCCCTTAAACAATAATGTATACTAGTTCAGCATACTTATAATGAAACCTTAATATGTATAGAAAATCTATTTATTTTCATCGGAGAAATGAATTTTTTGAATTATATTATATAAAACAAAATAAAAATATTCAAATCACATTTTCATTTTATCAAAGAATATTTCAATAATCCATGTTTTAAAGTTTTTTTCCTTGTAATGTAATCAAAATCTTTTGCAGTTTTGTTTTGACGGTTTATCTGTCTGACCTATTGGTGTCATTTCAAAACCAAGCTTCATTCTTACATGTACATGTCATGTATGTTAACCAATGCAAGTTATATATATAATGTATGTATGTATGCAGATACTGACTTGACATTTAATTTTTGATAACACAGGTTTATAATTCTTCAAGTTCAATATTTGATACTGATATATTTGTTCCATTTTCAAAAGAGTATTTTTGATTAACCTGTTTTGACCTTTAAGTTATTTATTCTTTATCATTATATAATATAATTACTTTTTATGAGTGGATAAAGCAGGTTGTGTGTCTGTTATATATTATAAAGTTAGAATTACAATGAATTATGTGATTGCAGTTGGAACTCTTATTTTCTTTAGAAAACAATTCTGAATGTTAACAAATAATGTTAATGACATATGGCTGAATTTTAATTGGGGAATTATAAGATTTTAAGTAGGTTAAATATATGCACACCAAACATTAAACATTGTAAGTGAATGATGTGTTATTTCTATCCCTGTGACCTATTTAAAAAAGACTATGTTGACATCACTTGATCTGAATGTTTCTATACCTGCATCGTCAAAGGCAGAAGCAGGTCTAATTACCGCTAGACTCTGTCTGTCTGAAAGAAAACTTTCAACAAAGTTTTCTTAGCTTCTATGAAAGGGAATGATTTAATATTTGGTCTGAAGCTTGATAATGTTGAGTTGTAGCTAGTAAGCAGTTAAAAATCTGATGTGTAGCCACTCCCTGTTTGCCGATAGTTTTGAATTTTTCAACACTCATTGTAAAGGAAAATTTCTGTTAAACTTTTCTTGGCTCTAATTAAAGTGAATGGTTTTGATAATTGGTCTTGGAGTGATCCTTTATGCTCCGGTAGACTTGTAACCTCAATCAAATGCTTGCAGCGATGCAGATCCATACCTGGTATTAGTCTTGTTTGGGTTTCCCCATACCAAAACATAGAATTTAGTTTCTTCTTTATAGTTTTGTAAGTCCACAAATACTTGTAAAGCTCTTATGGATTGTAAACTTTAACTGTTTTGGATAAAATCCAGAACTTCTAAGGTTTCAATGACAGGTGACATGAAGTGTAACTCACTTATGGATTGTAAACTTAAAATGTATTCGATCAAATCGAGAACTTGTAAGGTTTGACAGGTGACATGACGTGTTACTCACTTATAGATTGTAAACTTAAACTGTATAGGATCAAATGCAGAAGTTGTAAGGTGTTACAGGTGACATGAGGTGTTATTCACTTATGGATTGTAAACTTAAATTGTATTGGATCAAATCCATAACTTATAAGGTTTGACAGGTGACATGACATGTAACTCACTTATGGATTGTAAACTTAAACTGTTTTGGATAAAATCCTGAACTTCTAAGGTTTCAATGAAAGGTGACATGACGTGTAACTCACTTATGGATTGTAAACTTAAACTGTATTGGATCAAATCTACAAATTCTAAGGTTTGACGGGTGACATGACGTGTAACTCACTTACGGATCGTAAACTTAAACTGTATTGGATCAAATCTACAAATTCTAAGGTTTGACGGGTGACATGACGTGTTACTCACTTATGGATTGTAAACTTAAACTGTATTGGATAAAATCCGGTACTCTTAAGTTTTCAATGACAGATGACATGACGTGTAACTCACTTATGGATTGTAAACTTAAACTGTTTTGGATAAAATCCAAAACTTCTAAGGTTTCAATGACAGGTGACATGAAGTGTAACTCACTTATGGATTGTAAACTTAAAATGTATTCGATCAAATCGAGAACTTGTAAGGTTTGACAGGTGACATGACGTGTTACTCACTTATAGATTGTAAACTTAAACTGTATAGGATCAAATGCAGAAGTTGTAAGGTGTTACAGGTGACATGAGGTGTTATTCACTTATGGATTGTAAACTTAAATTGTATTGGATCAAATCCAGAACTTGTAAGGTTTGACAGGTGACATGACATGTAACTCACTTATGGATTATAAACTGAAACTGTTTTGAATAAAATCCAGATTTTTAAGGTTTCAATGAAAGGTGACATGACGTGTAACTCACTTATGGATTGTATACTTAAACTGTATTGGATCAAATCAAGAACTTGTAAGGTTTGACAGGTGACATGATGTGTAACTCACTTATGGATTGTAAACTTAAACTCAATTGGATCAAATCAAGAACTTGTAAGGTTTGACAGGTGACATGATGTGTAACTCACTTATGGATTGTAAACTTAAATTGTATTGGATCAAATCCAGAACTTGTAAGGTTTGACAGGTGACATGAGGTGTTATTCACTTATGGATTGTAAACTTAAATTGTATTGGATCAAATCGAGAACTTGTAAGGTTTGACAGGTGACATGACGTGTAACTCACTTATGTATTGTAAACTTAAACTGTATTGGATCAAATCAAGAACTTGTAAGGTTTGACAGGTGACATGATGTGTAACTCACTTATGGATTGTAAACTTAAACTCAATTGGATCAAATCAATAACTTGTAAGGTTTGACAGGTGACATGATGTGTAACTCACTTATGGATTGTAAACTTAAATTGTATTGGATCAAATCCAGAACTTGTAAGGTTTGACAGGTTACATGACGTGTAACTCATTAATGGATTGTAAACTTAAATTGTATTGGATCAAATCCAGAACTTGTAAGGTTTGACAGGTGACATGACGTGTAACTCACTTATGGATTGTAAAAAACTGTTTTGGATCAAATTCAGAACTTGTAAGGTTTCAATGCACCTTAGAGCATTACATGGGCACAGCCATCTTGTGAAGCCAACTTGACATAAGAGTTAACTGACTAGCAATAACTGGCTGTTTTATCAGTTACATATAATTTGCTCCTGAGGAGCTTTTTGACAAGGTTCCATGTAATAATACATCATCCTTAAAAGTATATAATTAAGCACTGCACATTTCTTGTGGAATTGTTTGGCTTTGTTAACATGTTTAACAAACCTAAAATTCACCAAGGAAGGCTATTTAATGTGGGTAAAATCATCCCAAATAGACATTGTATTTCATTAATAAAGAAAAGAATATAACTAAAAAGATTCCCTCACATAAATTTGATCTTTAAGGGAGATCGATTCAAGTTCAAGAACAATGCAAAAATAAATACTCACAAACAGTTTGCCCTTTGAAAGCATGACCACTTCACACTATATTATGATACTGTTTTGAGTGGACACAACATTAACCTTTATCAGTTAACATGATTAATGACCAAAAGTTTGACAACATCATAACACAGGAGGTATAAATTGAAATAGTATAATTGTTTTTTTTTTGTGTTTTTTTTTTCTTCATTTGAATATAAACATGATTAATCAAAGGTGTTATATAATTACATGATTGTTCTTAAAGGTGTAGTCTCATCTTAGTACACTGTCATACTTTGATCAGGTTAATCAATTCTTTTGCTAATCACATACTGTCATTGTGAAATGCTGAAATATGAAAAGCATATTGGAGAAAAAAAAATGAAAGTGAAATATTAATTTCCAAGAACATATTTAATTTGAATTTCAGATCTTAATTATAAAATTGAATGTTATGGAAATGTGTAAAAGGCATGGTTGAAAAATGACATCTTTTATTCTGTAATAACAAATCAAAGTGCATAAATTTGTATTTTATCATATTGATTAAATAATAAAATATTTATTGGTTAAGAGTAGTACTTTATCATATGGATTATGTCATATGTTCCACTTGTACTTTTCTCCTTCACTTCTGGGTCATAAAATTTCATTGGATTTAGACAACAATATATAGGTAAAAAGCTCTTTATTGTACTACTTGATTTGAGATTGTAGTGAGAAGATAGATCTAATGTAGTAACATACATAAATAATATTTATTTGTGATGTAAACCAGCCATTGTTACCAGTTCTAAGTTCCTTTAGATATGTGCATAAAAATCTTTCACTCTCGTAACATATTCATAACATAAAATGTTTCATTTGGCATGTTTAGTAAACCAGAAGTTGTAACACACTGTATAAATATTACACTCATCTGTTTGACCTAAAGGTTATGCAATCACAAACTTAAATCGTGAATCACTTAAATTGTAGTGAAATGGTATACTGTTCATGATACTTATTGTACTTACAGATATCTGTTAAGGATGAGTACGTTTAGTCCTTTCCCTGTTGAGGACTCGGTGGCAGGAAGGCTTGACCAGATGTGTAAACTGGACATTGACCGTGATCAACATGAACTAATGGGAAAGATGACTGGTATTATTGGTACTATAGGTATGATTTGGTTTCACATGGATTTTGACTGGGAAAAAAATGCATCATTTTTACAAAGTGAATGATTTGTAACTGTAACAAACTATGTTTAAATGTCCAAATTTCATATCGCTGATAAATTTCTCAGAAAACGAACAAAATTATACAGCACATGAAAGACCATTTGGTAAATGAATCAGTGTGGATGTTATTATTTAAGTGGGATAACTGAAATTTCCTCCTGACTTCGACTCAATTTTAGTGGTTCATTGGTTAGTTTTCATGGTAAGGTCATATTTAGTCAGCAGCTTTGCAGTGATGAGTTTCTGTTCTGTGATACACCTTAGTATTTCCTCTTTTTCCATACTTTGAATTAATAGTGGTTGTATGCTATGAATGATACTAATATTGTATATTAATTATTATAGGTCCAGCATGCGATTCTGTGGAGATGTTAACAAATATGTTTGTAGCAGGACTTAATATCTGTAGAATGAATTTAGCCTACAGAACACATCAGGTATTATATAGTTAGTATGAATAAAATTATATTTGGGGTATATATCAAAGAGACAGCAACCTACTAAAATGACCATCTCAAAGGCAACATACAGTCTTCAACAGTAGACAGGTGTCTTTGAGTCAACAAAAGTTTTAAATGATTTTAACGGAAACAATAAAAGATTGATTGATTGATAGATTTTTGGTGTTTAACACCACTTTCAGTACTATTGGCTATTTCGTGGAGGCAAGTATTTTTTGTTGGAGGAAGCCAGAGAGAATCTGCCACCATTGACAGGAAAACTGGCAATCCTAGTCAATTAAGATTGGAGAAGAACGCACCTGCTATGTGCAGGGTACGAACTCACTACCTCAGTGTTGACAGGCTAGTGATGAACTACTTTGACCACTCGGCCACGGAATCCCCAAAACAATAAAAGATCTGTCATCAATACCCAATTCTCCAAATAATGAAAAACATTGAGATGTGACATAGAACATTGAAAAAAGGTTCCTTGCTTGGGACAGTTAAATAGAAATGTGGCAGGTTTAAAAAACAATTTACTGATAGTTAGGGCTGTCTTTATTGGCAATACACATTTTCTCTGATTTTATTCTAAATTTTACATTTTATGTTTTCTGCATTAGATGATATAATGAGCTTTTATAAGACCGCAAAAACTTTCGGCCCTATCACAGTATGACATTTGGTTTCTAGACAATAACTTAAGTATAAGTGTATGGATTTGTATGAAATTGTACCTCAAGGCTCCATACTACAAAAGGAAGGTTGGATTGAATTTTGGGGTTATGGCCATATCCCCTAAGGAATTAGGGGTTCTTTGATATGCTTAGTTTGAGGGAGGGAATGGGGTACCCCACATGACGAATGACGGTAAAATATTTATAGTTGAATGTTATTTTAACAAATATACCGTCATTCGTTGATATGCTTAATTTGAGGGAGGGAATGGGGTACCCCACATGACGAATGCTGGTATAATATTTGTTAAAATAACGTTCAACTATAAATATTTTACTCCATTTGACGAAAACAGTTGCTACAAAATTTGACTTGACGAATGAGGATAAAAAATTAAGGCCCATTTGACGCTAATGTTAGTAAAAAAGGGACATTTGACAATAAAGGGCATTTCTACCCTCTTATCTTACTGTGTATTTAGAATTTTTATTTTGGACAAGTTTTCCAGTGGGTCTAAATTAGGGTGCAAAATTAAACATGAAACATAAAACCAATCTTCCACAACATCACATCAATTGTCTACTGCACTTCGAATAGGTAAAAAGATGAATCACCAAAATTATCAAATAATCAGCATTTTCATTCAAATATATCAACCCACTTCAATGATAATTTAAACATTTCCCACAAAAACAGTTTCCTCCATATTGACATTTCTGTTCAAAGGGAAATAACGTTAACTCAAAGCACAGTTTATTGATAATCCACTCTAAAACACACAACATTAATGTCACCTTTTGATAACACTTTTCAGAACAATTCTAAGTATTTTGATTAATACATGTAACATTTAGAAACAGATATAAGGTATCATCCCAACAATAACATTATTTTCAAAATGAAAATTTCAAAGTGACAATAACCATACACACATACATTACGATATGATCCATAGAAATGGTAAGCAGGGAAATAACTCATATATTTATTATTATATTCAAATGCCAACGATACACAAAACTAAGGAAATATTATTTTTTTAGTATTTTGCAGATATAATTAAAAGAATTCAACAAATTGTGCCAAAGATTGGACATCAAATTGCTATAGGTATAGACATAACAGGACCAGGAATAAGATTGGGGTACCTTAAAGGGGTAAGTATCAAATCTCAGTATAATCTTTATTTTGAGTTGGTATTTTGAATGCATAAAACATTGTACTGATGAATAAAATGAGGTATTGGGTACACATCAATTAGACTTAAACCCAAGGACACAGAACAAGCAAAGACATTAAGACTTGGTCAACTTTACTTTCTTAGGAAATAAACAAATGTCTTTTCAAAATGTCAAGTTCCCATGACACAAACTTAAGTAGTTGTTACAGAAGTGGATATAAATTATTAACACATTTAGAATTTATATTCCTGTAAGTTTAGGTCCATTTAGGATGTTTCAGACCTCTGCACTGTGTAGGCCAGACATAGATAGACTACTCACTCCTTTATAAATTACCACTTTACTCTTATTATACAGATTATAGCAATAAATTGCCTTAATTTTAAAACTGCTATTGAACAGCTGGCCCTGAAAAGTATGGAAAGAAACTGGAACAAATAAAATAATTCAGGGCAAAAAGGCCATAATATTACTTCTCAACTTTTTTAGGGTTATTTATTTACCTGTTACTATTGCAGCATTATTAATGAAAGCTTAAATATTTAGAAATATTACTGATGAAATTTAGGAATTATCTACAACTCAGGTATGATAAGATTGTTATGTTGTCGAGTTCTTAAATTGTATAAAATATTTTGTTGGTATGGTGTTATTCTATGATTTTTATGTTGGCTACTCTGTAGCTTTATTATATCATTTTTGTTGAATGTTTTTATGACTTTAGAATCCAGCTTTACCTAAATATATGATGCATATTGGCTTTTATACAAATCTCTTTTAAACAAAGCCTAGCAGACTTATAACAATGTGATAACTGTGCAGGTGGGATAAGTTATGACTTAAATTCAGATCATTTCCAATGACTCGGTTTCCATTGGATCCCTATATTGTCTTGTGTTGACACCCATTCTCTAACCCTCTCAGAAGCCAGGAACCAATGTCAATAAGTCAGGTTTATATGTAATCCTGTAAGTGTAAACTTGCTATAAACTTTGAGAAAATGATTTATACATAAGTAATCCCTTTGTTGTCTTGTGTTGACACCCATTCTCTGATCCTCTCAGTAGCCACGAACCAATGTCAATAAGTCAGGTTTATATGTAATCCTGTAAGTGTAAACTTGCTATAAACTTTGAGAAAATGATTTATACATAAGTAATCCCTTTGTTGTCTTGTGTTGACACCCATTCTCTGATCCTCTCAGTAGCCACGAACCAATGTCAATAAGCTAGGTTTATATGTAATCCTGTAAGGGTAAACTTGCTATAAACTTTGAGCAAATGATTTATACATAAGTAATCCCTTTGTTGTCTTGTGTTGACACCCATTCTCTGATCCTCTCAGTAGCCACGAACCAATGTCAATAAGTCAGGTTTATATGTAATCCTGTAAGTGTAAACTTGCTATAAACTTTGAGAAAATGATTTATACATAAGTAATCCCTTTGTTGTCTTGTGTTGACACCTGTTCTCTGATCCTCTCAGTAGCCAGGAACCAATGTCTATAAGTCAGGTTTATATGTTATCCTGCAAGGGTAAACTTGCTATAAACCTTGAGAAAATGATTTATAAATAAGTAATCCCTTTGTTGTCTTGTGTTGACACCCATTCTCTGATCCTCTCAGTAGCCAGGAACCAATGTCAATAAGTCAGGTTTATATGTAATCCTGTAAGTGTAAACTTGCTATAAACTTTGAGAAAATGATTTATACATAAGTAATCCCTTTGTTGTCTTGTGTTGACACCCATTCTCTGATCCTCTCAGTAGCCAGGAACCAATGTCAATAAGTCAGGTTTATATGTAATCCTGTAAGGGTAAACTTATTATAAACTTTGAACAAATAATTTATACATTAGTAATCCCTTTCAGGACTTACGGTTAATGATTCCATCTCCCTCCAAACATATCAGCCACTATTACAATGGTTAATGATTCCATCTTCCTCCAAACATATCTGCCACTATTACAATGGTTAATGATTCCATCTCCCTCCAAACATATCTGCCACTATTACAATGGTTAATGATTCCATCTCCCTCCAAACATATCTGCCACTATTACAATAAAATGTTATCAATATAATAATTGACATTGGACAAACATTTCTGAAAAATCACAGTTTGCCTCCAAATTTAGTGAAATGCAACCTTTCTGTTCTTCATTAAGAATTATGGACTGTTATGGTATATGTTCTTAACCACCTTCATACATGACTACTACTGTTACGAAAAATAGAAAATTTACTAAAAATGATTCAAAACAAATTTGAATGATGTACAGTTGTGCACCTACTATTTTATTTTGGTCAAAAGTCAAATTTTAGTATTTCCCATCATAAGATATGGACTAAGTTTTTTACTGAGGGATAAGTGTTCAGAGTAAAATTACCTTCATTTCACTTTTGAAAGGTAAACAACTCATAGAATTCTTCAGAACATAGATTCCAAAGTTTCACAGGAATAGGGAAAATTTTGATTTTCAACATACAAATGATTTATTTATTAAATTGATTTTTGTTTATACCACAATATACAACAGGGTTATTTTAAAGAATCATTGATCTTCACAGATGATAATTCTTCATGTTTCTTTCTGGTATGAAAATATGAATGGTGTTAAAATGAAAGCCCTTTGTAGAATGTACTTGGCTGCACTAAATACACATCCTATATACCGAGGTATATTGTGAAATGAACATGTATAACATGATTTATTGTTTATTATGTGCAAGCTTTGTTAAAAGTTATTAGTTTTTGAATAATTGGGTTTTCTGTTTTGCATGTCTGAATTTTTCAAAACAAGAATATATTGAAATTTTAAGTGTTCAAACGTCTTGCTTCTTCATGGCTGCTTTTATATGGATAGCTCTTTATTATCAGAAATTTGCAATAGTGACATCTATATATATCTATCACAAATGATCATTTTACCTGATTATATTAAAGAGCACTTTTACCCTTAGCTTAAAATTATCAGTCCTGGAATTTTGTTATTACATGTACACAGACAATTGCTGCAACTCTTCTTTTTGCTGCTCTCTAAAAAACATAATTTGCTTGCCAATATGCTGTTGTGGGAGCATGAATTTTTATTGGCGGATTAATTGTCAGTAGTAGAATCATTGGAAATAAATGTTTTATGTTCCAATCCAGCAAGAATTATATCAAACACTAAAAAGATAGTTTTGAATAAGTTTTTGGTACATGGACTTTCTCAGGTAAAAGCCTAAGTAAAATGTGTGCGCTCTCCAGTTATAGAGAGTTGATTGTAAAATAAAAACAAATACTGGAACCTCTTTTTTACCTGTCTCATTGCATATCTGCCAACTTCTATTTGTATGAAGCTTTTTATTTCAGAAGGTAGAAGAACTGGATGCTTCATACTTTGTATATAGATGTTACAAAGTTTCTGTCTGTCGTATGCCTATTGTCCTTGACCTAATTTTCATGGTTCAGCAACTGCTTAAAAATACTATGTTTTTTTTTGTCATGTAAATGTTTCACTTACTGTAAATTCAGAAATTATTGCGATGTTTTTATTAATGCGAAAAATGTGACAGGGTTATAATCGCAATAATTCAAACTCGCATTTTGAAATATTTAATATGAACTAAACAGGATTTTTCTCAATATCGCAAAAATTAAAATCGCATTTTAGTGTAAAATGACAAAATCGCAATAATAAATGCACACAATAATTTCTGAATTTACAGTATTATGAAAATAGGATAATTATATTTAATGAATGGGATCTTTGCAAGCTTTACATGTCTGTCAGACAGGGTTCACCTGACCTCAACCTCATTTCATGGATCAGTGATCAAGTTTAAAGTTACCTGATTAGGTCTGTTACTCAGATGCAATAAGTAATATGTCAGCTTTATTTGTCGTATGAAATGATTGTAACATGTTTAGCAGGTATCATCTGACCTTAACTTCATTTTCTTTGTTCATTGGTCATTGTTTAGTTTTCCTGGTTAATAGATATAAGAAGATGTGGTACGACTGTTTCTCGGATACTATAAGCAATAGGTCAACTATAGTTTGTGTATGGAGTGATTGTAAGGTATGCATGTCTATCTGATTTCATTTGATCTTGACCTCAATTTTCATGATTCATTGGTCAATGTTAAGTTTTCGTAGATAAGTTTGTTTCTATAAGCAATATGACCACTATTTTTGGTGTATGGAGTGTTGATAAGGTGAACATGTCCGTTTGTCAGAATTCATCTGACCATGACCTTGATGTCATTAACATGGATCATTGATAATGACAAGTGAATTGTAGTAAAATCTTTTATCTTTTAAACTTTCAACATAAAATCAATCATGATCAGTAAAGCAGGTGAGACATGTCTGTATGTGCACTGTAGTTTTTGAATTTTTGTCGAGCCTGCGACTTTTGTCGCAGAAAGCTCGACATAGGGATAGTGATCCGGCGGCGGCGGCGGCGGCAGCGGCATTAGCTAACTTCTTAAAAGCTTTATATTTTAGAAGGTAGAAGACCTGGATGCTTCATACTTTGTATATGGATGCCTCATGTTACGAAGTTTCCGTCAGTCACATGTCCAATGTCCTTGACCTCATTTTCATGGTTCAGTGACTACTTGAAAAAAAAGTTAACATTTTTTGTAATGTTAAATTCTCTCTTATTAATAGTAGTAGGATAACTATATTTGGTATGTGCGTACCTTGCAAGGTCCTCATGCCCGTCAGACAGTTTTCACTTGACCTCGACCTCATTTCATGGATCAGTGAACAAGGTTAAGTTTTGGTGGTCAAGTCCATATCTCAGATACTATAAGCAATAGGTCTAGTATATTCGGTGTATGGAAGGACTGTAAGGTGTACATGTCCAACTGGCAGGTGTCATCTGACCTTGACCTCATTTTCATGGTTCAGTGGTTATAGTTAAGTTTTTGTGTTTTGGTCTGTTTTTCTTATACTGTATGCAATAGGTCTGCTATATTTGGTGATTGGAATGATTGTAAGGTGCACATGTCTAGCTGGCAGGTGTCATCTGACTTTGACCTCGTTTTCATGGTTCAGTGGTCAAAGTTAAGTTTTTGAGTTTTGGTCTTTTTTTCTAATACTATATGCAATAGGTCAACTATATTTGGTGTATGGAAATATTTTATGATCTATATGTCAGTCGCGCAGGTTTTATATGACCTTGACTTCATTTTCACGGTTCATTGCTCAGTGTTAAGTTTTTGTGTTTTGGTCTGTTTTTCTTAAACTATAAGCAATAGGTCAACTATATTTGTTATATGGAAGAATTGTTAACTGTACATGTCTGCCTGGCATGGTTCATCTGACCTTGCCTCATTTTCATGGTTCATTGGTCAGTGTTTAGTTTTCTTGGTTAATGTTAAGTTTATGTGACAGTTGTAATAAAGCTTTATATTTAGGACTATCAACATAATATCAATGATTAGTAAAGAAGGCGAGACATTTCAGCGTGTGCACTCTTGTTCATTAAGGTACAGTATTGGACAATAAATTGAATCGACAACGGTTAAACATCTGCTGTCGAATCAACTAATTCATCAAAATGATAAAGGAGACTCGATTGTAACGATTGAATTTTAGCTGTCTATTCAATCAACTCATATGATTAAAATGGGGACACAATTGATAAACAATTGAGCATCAGCTGTCGATTCAATCAACTCTTCAAAATAGTATGGAAGTAATGATAGTTAAGATTGATCATGATGGAACATTGGATGTTGATTCAATAAACTTTTCAATATAATATTGAGGGCACAATCATTACAATAGATAACGATTGAACATTTGCTGTTGAGTAATATAAAATTGAAGTAATAGAATTGATTGAGCTGATCAACTGTGGCACGATCACATCGATTGATTACGATTGATATGATCGTGCTCCTAGTAAATTGAAGTAATAGAATTGATTGAGCTGATCAACTGTGGCACGATCACATCAATTGATTACGATTGATATGATCGTGCTCCTAGTAAATTGAAGTAATAGAATTTGATTGAGCTGATCAACTGTGACACGATCACATTGATTGATTAAGACTGATATGATCGTGCTCTTAGTAAATCGAAGTAATAGAATTGATTGTGCTGATCAACTGTGGCACGATCACATCGATTGATTACGATTGATATGATTGTGCTCCTAGCAAATTGAAGTAATAGAATTGATTGTGCTGATCAACTGTGGCACAATCACATCGATTGATTACGATTGATATGATCGTGCTCCTAGCAAATTGAAGTAATAGAATTGATTGAGCTGATCAACTGTGGCACAATCACATTGATTGATTACAATTGATATGATCAAGCTCTTAGTAAATTGAAGTAATAGAATTGATTGAGCTGATCAACTGTGGCACAATCACATTGATTGATTACAATTGATATGATCAAGCTCCTAGTAAATTGAAGTAATAGAATTGATTAAGTTAAAACTATGTAACTATTTGTAAAGAATTGATTGAGAAGATAAATAGAGTTGAATAAAAATCATAGCAAATACCCCACAACAATAGATTGGTCCTACAACGTTACTCTATTGACTAGGATAGACTTTAGAAAAGATAACGTTTTCCACAAAGTGTCTATTCAATGTATTGTCCAATACTGTTCCGGTGTCGAATTTCTATAGTGCAATGTTTTTCATGTAGATTTGTTTTAGTAGTAAATAATGTTTTTTAATGTTTGCCTCTTTTTTTGAACCTGACTTTTAATAAGCTAATATCAAGTTTCTGTACTGTTAGCTTTTGTCACTTATAATATTTGAATATATGGCTGATGCACTATGTTAGGATTCAAATTGAAATTTTGTCACAGTTGTTTAAGAAAAGCATTTTGAAATAGGTTTTGTCTCAATGTTTGTATTGGTGCACTATTTTTTATTGTGAATGGTTTCCAAATATTTACAAGGACTGTTTCTTTGTAGGAAGTAGGATTGGGACAGGAACTGAAGATGAAGAAGGGAGATAAGATGAGATTTACATCTAATCCTACTTACAGAGATTGTGGGACTCCAGAGAATATGTTTGTAGATATAGGGGAGGCCATAGATAGAGTTCAGATTGGCAATCAAGTGATAATAGAGGATGGGCCTCTCACCTTTAAAGTTGTAGCAAAAGGTGTGTAGCATCTTAGAATGTTAAAGGTTAGATCTTTACAGCTTCAGAGAAAACCCTTTTTATACGTAACCATATACTCCTGATAATAAGATGCTGTGAACAGGGCTTGACCAAAATTGTATTAGTTTAAGGCAACAAAGCTGTCCAGTTAAATTTTTGGCTACAGTTTCAAAATAAGTTTTTGAGCACCTGAGAATACCCCTAGATGTTGGTAGGGTTGGTGTTGCTCAGGAGCACCTGAGATTACCCCTAGATGTTGGAAGGGTTGGTGTTGCTCAGGAGCACCTGAGATTACCCCTAGATGTTGGTAGGGTTTGTGTTGCACAGGAGCACCTGAGATTACCCCTAGATGTTGGTAGGGTTGGTGTTGCTCAGGAGCACCTGAGATTACCCCTAGATGTTGGTAGGGTTGGTGTTGCACAGGAGCACCTGAGATTACCCCTAGATGTTGTTTGGTTGGTGTTGCACAGGAGCACCTGAAATTACCCCTAGATGTTGGTAGGGTTGGTGTTGTGCAGGAGCACCTGAGATTACCTCTAGGTGTTGGTAGGGTTGGTGTGGCTCAGGAGCACCTGAGATTACCCCTAGATGTTGGTAGGGTTTGTGTTGCACAGGAGCACCTGAGATTACCCCTAGATGTTGGTAGGGTTGGTGTTGCTCAGGAGCACCTGAGATTACCTCTAGATGTTGGTAGGGTTGGTGTTGCTCAGGAGCACCTGATATTACCCCTAGATGTTGGTAGGGTTGGTGTGGCTCAGGAGCACCTGAGATTACCCCTAGATGTTGGTAGGGTTGGTGTTGCTCAGGAGCACCTGATATTACCCCTAGATGTTGGTAGGGTTGGTGTGGATCAGGAGCACCTGAGATTACCCCTAGATGTTGGTAGGGTTGGTGTGGCTCAGGAGCACCTGAGATTACCCCTAGATGTATGTAGGGTTGGTGTTGTTCAGGAGCACCTGAGATTACCCCTAGATGTTGGTAGGGTTGGTGTTGCTCAGGAGCACCTAAGATTACCCCTAGATGTTGGTAGGGTTGGTGTTGCTCAGGAGCACCTGATATTACCCCTAGATGTTGGTAGGGTTGGTGTTGCTCTAGAGCACCTGAGATTACCCCTAGATGTTGGTAGGGTTGGTTTGGCTCAGGAGCACCTGAGATTACCCCTAGATGTTGGTAGGGTTGGTGTTGCTCAGGAGCACCTGAGATTACCCCTAGATGTTGGTAGGGTTTGTGTGGCTCAGGAGCACCTGAGATTACCTCTAGAAGTTGGTAGGGTTGTTGTGGCTCAGGAGCACCTGAGATTACCCCTAGATGTTGGTAGGGTTGGTGTGGCTCAGGAGCACCTGAGATTACCCCTAGATGTTGGTAGGGTTTGTGTTGCTCAGGAGCACCTGAGATTACCCCTAGATGTTGGAAGGGTTGGTGTTGCTCAATCTTCAGTTTTCTATGTAGTGTTTGGTGGACTTGTTTGTGTTTTTTGTTTTCGTTGTCTTTTCTTTTTTGCTATTGTGTCGTCAGTTTATCTTGAATTATTATTTAAAAAGTCCCCCTGGTTTCTTTTGCCTTTTTTTATATTAAAAGTATATTCCAAATAATGGTGTTCATATTTTTGGCAATTCCTTTCATCCCTTTTTGTCCCCTGCGCCACGTGTTGCGGGGGACATAGAAATACCGTGCGTCTGTCCTTCTGTCCTGTCTTGTTAGCGCTCTCATGTGTACAATTCGTGCCAGATTTTAAAAAACTTATATCATAGGTTCATATCAGCAATGTCTTTGACAAATTAGAAAATCAGTGCCGATCAAATATTATTAAAAGAATTATGACCTTGGAAATATTAATTATATTGGAAATTGCATTGTATTTGCTCTCAAGCCTTCATTGTATTTGTAAAAAGTTTGAAAAAACAAAAAAAACATTTTTATGCCCCCGCTGTAGAGGAGGGGGCATTAAGTTTTACCTTTGTCCGTCTGTACGTACGAACATACGAACGTCCCATAATTGGTTTCCGTTCTCTAACTTTAGTTTGCCTCAAGCAAATGTTATGAAACTTATACACAATGCTTATTACCACAAAACACAGATCAAGTTTGAATTTTGGTGGCGTCACTTTTACTGTTCTAGACTTATGCCCCTTTACAAATGGAAAAATTGCTGAATTTTTTGTTTCAGTTCTCTGACTTTAGTTTGCCTCAACCAAATGTTTTGAAACTTATACACAATGCTTATTACCACAAAACACTGATAAAGTCTCAATTTTGGTGGCGTCACTTTTACCATTCTAGATTTATGACCCTTTACAAATGGAAAAATTGCTGAATTTTTTCGTTTCCATTCTCTTACTTTAGTTTGCCTCAACCAAATGTTATGAAACTTATACACAATGCTTATTACCACAAAACTCAGATCAAGTTCACATTTGGGTAGTGTCACTTTTACAGTTCTTGAGTTATATCCCTTTATAACGTTATATGCAAGTGGGGGCATCATTTGTGTCCCATGGACACATTCCCCATTTATTTTTTAAGTTATTGCCCTTGGATGGATAAAATATGTGCAACACGTGGGGATATTGGAACTCTAAACTTTTATTATGTATTATTGTATTAAAGAAACTTTAATTCTTGTAGGAAAAGATTATGTAGATTGTGAAGTAGAAGAACCAGGAGAGTTGGGAGGAAGGATGTTATGGACTGTACCTAGACTCATCCTGAAGGAACCAAAACTGTCAGACAAAGATAAACAAGAACTGGACTTTGCTTTAGAAAATCATGTAATTATCAGTATTCTGTTTGCCCTGTGTTAGTAGTGTTCAGTAAGAAGATTATTATTATTATCTGCCTCGTCATATTTACTAACTCATGTACATCCGAATGATTGTTGATATTTACATATGATTTGGTTAAGTTTGTGTTTTTGTTCATGTGTACATATGATTTGGTTAAGTTTTGTGTTTTTGTTCATGTGTACATATGATTTAGTTAAGTTTGTGTTTTTTTTTCATGTGTACATATGATTTGGTTAAGTTTGTGTTTTTGTTCATGTGTACATATGATTTGGTTAAGTTTTGTGTTTTTGTTCATGTGTACATATGATTTGGTTAAGTTTTGTGTTTTTGTTCATGTGTACATATGATTTGGTTAAGTTTGTGTTTTTTTTTCATGTGTACATATTATTTGGTTAAGTTTTGTGTTTTTGTTCATGTGTACATATGATTTGGTTAAGTTTGTGTTTTTGTTCATGTGTACATATGATTTGGTTAAGTTTTGTGTTTTTGCTCATGTGTACATATGATTTGGTTAAGTTTGTGTTTTTGTTCATGTGTACATATGATTTGGTTAAGCTTGTGTTTTTGTTGATGTGTACATATGATTTGGTTAAGTTTTGTGTTTTTGTTCATGTGTACATATGATTTGGTTAAGTTTGTGTTTTTTTTTCATGTGTACATATGATTTGGTTAAGTTTTGTGTTATTGTTCATGTGTACATATGATTTGGTTAAGTTTGTGTTTTTGTTCATGTGTACATATGATTTGGTTAAGTTTGTGTTTTTGTTCATGTGTACATATGATTTGGTTAAGTTTTGTGTTTTTGCTCATGTGTACATATGATTTAGTTCTGTTTGTGCTTTTGTCCATATGTACACATGATTTGGTAAAGTTTTGCATCTTTGTCCATTTCTCAGAGAAATCTCCTGATTTTTCATAACCATTTCCAATCAAACGTTTTTATATTTGTAATCATAAATCATTAGATCTCAAAATAGAAAAATAACAGTTACAACAGTACAAATGATTTTCTTTCAATATTTCCACTGTACCAGACTGTTATTGAACCTAATGGCACAGCAAGCCACTGCTCTACCAAGCAATGAAATAAATAAATAATCTACTAACACAGCTAATAGAGGACACTAATAAATCTACAAGGTCAAGGAAAATAGTTTATTTGATCCTGAATGTTACAGAAGAGAACGAATTGCCATCAAAAATTTTAACTGTACCAAATTCTTCCTCTGGCACTGTATGTCACTGCTTCACCGCATTACTAAAGAATAAGATACAAAAAGGGAGTAACAGGATTCACCTAAAATGCTCCACAGTATTACAAACCACATCAACCACCAACACCCAAATCTTTCAAGAAAAGAAAAAAAGGAAAACAACATTAACATGACATGGTCCAGATAGTATACATTAGCTCAGATAATGGAGAGAATTTTTAAATCTGATATGTCATAACAATATGGCCATAATAACGTCTGGTTCATTAGATACTGTAAATTCTATTTTTACATTTAGTCTTTGAAATTAAATATCGGCCATCCTATGCCATTTTAAATAAATACCTAATATGCAGATAATTATTTTCCAGGTAAATGATACAATTTAAATGTGTTTATATTAGGTAGATATGATATTTGCCTCCTTTGTGTATGATCCTGCCTTAGTCCATGAAATAAGAGAATATCTTGGAGAGAGAGCAAAGACAATGAAGATTGTGTCCAAAATAGAGAACTATGAAGGAATCAGAAGGTCAGATTTTACTGTTAACTATCTTGTTTGTAAATATCTTAAAAACACAGATTTTCTATCAAAAGGGCTATTAAAAGTACAGACTATAAGAACTAGACGTTTGTATAAAGTTAACAAAGAAGTATGTTTACTAATAGAAACTACTGGAATCTTCTAGAATTTACCAATAAAATGCTAATTTTCTAATTATAAGTAAATGTTATTTATCTAGTGATATATCTGGATTTCAAACTTGTACAGTCAGTCCTGAATATGATACACAGTTTAAAATGATATGCTTATCCTGTCCAAAAGATATAAGTTTCAGTAGGTATGGGTGATATAATTAGCTTAATTTATCAGCTAAAATAGGTGTCATTATTTTCTACTCAATTATCTTTTTTCAGATATGATGAAATATTAGATGTGTCAGACGGTATAATGGTTGCCAGGGGAAACTTGGGAATTGACATTCCTCCGGAGAAAGTTTTCATTGCTCAGAAAATGATGATCAGCAGAGCAAACAATGTGGGCAAGCCTGTTATATGTGCAACACAGGTAAACAAGAAGTAGGATGAACATATTTGTTTATTTAAAGGATTTTTTTATGCCCCCGTCGTAGGCAATGGGGGCATTAAGTGTTACCCTTGACAATTCATTTTTTGTTTCCGCACTCAAACTTAAGTAAGCCTTATGCAAATTTTGGGAAACTCATACACAATGTTAATAACGACTACACACAGACAGAGTTCGAATTTGGGCAGTGACTCATTCATTGTTCAATAGTTATGCCCCTTTTTAACTTGGAAAATTGCAAAGCTTGAGCAGTGGCATTCGTGTCCTCAGACACATTCTTTTATTTTTTAAATGAATAAGTATCATCCCTGATGATAGTTGTTGAAACCAGTAGCCCTTTACTATTTGAATGTAATTCAGAAATCTTTGTATGTCTGCATTTTTAAAAGCATTTTAACTTTATTATATTTGTATACACTTTTTAGGCGTTTATATATATATATATATGTATTGTTTTTCAATTTAGACTTGTTTATATATATATAAACGGGTTATGTTCTTCTCATATATTTTATGACGGTATAATACTAAACCCCTAACAGGAGGGATTGTGCCTGATATTCATATGATGAAGACATAATCTTTCAATCAGTTTAATTGAGGTCTGGAGCTGGCATATCAGTAACTGCTAGTAATCTGTTGTTATTTATGTATTATTGTCATTTTGTTTATTTTCTTTTGTTTCCTATTCTGACATCGGACTCAGAATTCTCTTAAACTGAGTTTTACTGTGCGTACTGTTGTACGTTTGTTTTTTCTACATTGGCTAGAGGTATAGGGGGAGGGTTGAGATCTCAAAAAACATGTTTAACCCCGCCACATTTTTGCGCCTGTCCCAAGTCAGGAGCCTCTGGCCTTTGTTAGTCTTGTATCATTTTTAATTTTAGTTTCTTGTGTATAATTTGGAGTTTAGTATGACGTCCATTATCACTGAACTAGTATACATTTTTGTTTAGGGGCCAGCTGAAGGACACCTCCGGGTGCGGGAGTTTCTCGCTGCATTGAAGACCCATTGGTGGCCTTCGGCTGTTGTCTGCTCTATGGTCGGGTTGTTGTCTCTTTGACACATTCCCCATTTCCATTCTCAATTTCATATATATATATATAGAAATTTGTTTTGCATGCACACGTATAAAAATTGCGGTTTTTATCCAACGCAATCATAGTTTTTAACGTTGTTTTCAATTTAGACTTGTATATATATATATACATTAAGTCAAATGTATATACCAAACATTGATTAGTAATTTTGATTTGATCTATAAAAGCCCCCAAAAAACAAAACTGAAATGGCTTTAATTAAAACAAACTCAATTACATAAAATATGGATGAATGTTGACTATGTTTTCACATCATATTCCACAAGGCTTAATTTTGAATAATTTGTATAAGATCTTTTGGTCACATTGTCAATTTTTACTAATGTTTACTTCAAATAAATCTCAACCAGAAACCCACATGATGAAGTTCTTAATCTTAACATGGAAGATATTTTTTAGAGAACGTTTATATTTTCAGATGCTAGCTAGTATGATTCAGAACCCTCGTCCAACGAGAGCTGAAGTTGCAGATGTTGCAAATGCTGTCATAGATGGTGCTGATAGTGTGATGTTGTCAAGAGAAACAGCCAGAGGCAAAAATCCACTGAAATCATTACAAACAATATGCAATGTCAGTAGAGAAGCTGAGCAGGCTTTATACAGAGATCAGTTATTCCGTGATCTCAGAGTAATGGTGGAGTCAGAGCCCACTGATGCCACACATACAGCGGCTTTGTCTGCTGTTGAAGCGGCAATGAAATGTCATGCCAGAGCCATAGTTGTTATAACTGCCACTGGCAGGTATGATGATAAGAATTAAACAATGGCTGTTCAAAACTAAAAATATTTTCCAGTTCTTCTTGTGACTTTCATCTTTACACACAATTTAAAAGAAATTGATTCCATGAATCAGGAAAAATTGAGCATCTTTTTGAAGTATTGGTATACAAAAAAAATGGCTCTCCAAAAATTTTATATATATATAAGAAGGCCATTTGTTGAGCCCAAATGCCAAAATATTTGTCAATACAATTTTATAACATCTTGTTCATATATTACTATCTTACATCAGTATTGTTGCATATATTTTATGACTTTTATATAGATATAATTAAAAGTAACTAAATATGTGGTTTTAAACAGTGGCAGTAATAATATTTTTAAACCTGCCTGATAGTATTTCAAAAGATTTTGCAATTATTTCCGACATTCTGTCAATCAACTATTTTTGTCACTTACTATTTTACAGAACTTAAAAGGTCACAATTTTTTTCTAAAGGTAGAAAATACTGAAACCAGGACTATTCTGGTTTATCATTGTCATTGCATTCTATACAATTTCTGTTGTGTTTTTTTACAACAACTTTAAATCACAGCTTCAATATATATCTCGAATATAGTATCATCTTGGTATGCTGATTGTATATTGTTTGTTCCAGGTCAGCAGCACTGATTGTATATATATTATTTGTCTAGGTCAGCAGCACTGATTATATATATATTATTTGTTTCAGGTCAGCAGCACTGATTGTATATATATATAATTTGTCCCAGGTCAGTAGCACTGATTGTATATATATATTATTTGTTCCAGGTCAGCAGCACTGATTGCATATATACTATTTGTTCCAGGTCAGCAGCACTGATTGTATATATATTATTACACCCCCGCTTTAAAAAAGTGGGGTATACTGTTTTACCTCTGTCTGTCCATCCGTCTATCCGTCTGTCCGTCCCATGAATGTTTTTCGTCGCATTTTTCTCAGGAACTACATCATACGGATTTCTGAAATTTGGTTTCAGGGTTTATATAAGTCAGCTATATCATGTGATGCGTTTTCAGATTCATCACTCGACAACTTCCTGTTTACCATCAAGTATTTGGGCGGGGGTATCATCAGTGAGCAGTAACTCGCAGTTTCACTTGCTTGTTCCAGGTCAGCAGCACTGATTGTATATATATTATTTGTTCCAGGTCAGCAGCACTGAGTGTATATATATTGTTTGTCCCAGGTCAGCAGCACTAATTGTATATATATTGTTTGTCCCAGGTAAGCAGCACTGATTGTATATATATTGTTTGTTCCAGGTCAGCAGCACTGATTGTATTATTATTGTTTGTCCCAGGTCTGCATCACTGATTGTATATATATATTGTTTGTTCCAGGTCAGCAGCACTGATTGTATATATATTGTTTGTTCCAGGTCAGCAGCACTGATTGTATATATATTGTTTGTCCCAGGTCAGCAACACTGATTGTATACATATTGTTTGTTCCAGGTCAGCAGCACTGATTGTATATATATTGTTTGACCCAGGTCAGCAGCACTGATTGTATATATATTGTTTGTCCCAGGTCAGCAGCACTGATTGTATATATATTGTTTGTTCCCGGTCAGCAGCACTGATTGTATATATTGTTTGTCCCAGGTCAGCAGCACTGATTGTATATATATATATTGTTTGTTCCAGGTCAGCAGCACTGATTGTATATATATATTGTATGTCCCAGGTCAGCAACACTGATTGTATATATATTGTTTGTTCCAGGTCAGCAGCACTGATTGCTAAATACCGTCCACCATGTGTAATCATAGCTATTACAAGATTTCCTCACACAGCTAGAAGCCTCCATCTTCACAGAGGAGTTTTACCCATACTTTATCAAGGTATATAGTATGCTTTTTTTCTAAACAGCATTTTATCTTATACTTTATGATATTTGTAATACTCAGAAACGTGTCCTTCCCATCAAACATGTCCCATACTCCAAACGAGTCCATATGGCATCACTGTACGCCCAAACATGTCTAGCTTGTGTAGGATGCCAAAACATGTCCTTTTCATAACTCCCAATCATCTCCATGTTTTAAAAACACTCAAACATGTCTAGCTCAATGTATGAAAAGTGATTATCACATTCAGGCTAGGAATGCCATTATCTACCAGGTGTCACTTCCAGCTACTGTTAACATCAAATTGATTAAATTTTTATGGTGATTGTCAAAATGTTCTTGGGCCTATTGTGATTTGTTGGATGTCTAAAAGAAGAAGCTTACTGTTATTTTTGGAAAATTATACTTTTTAAAATTAACCAATTGTTTTTTTATTGTTAACTGAAGTAATTGAATGCAGAAAACTTTTTATCGTTCGTACTGTACCAAAACCTACCAGTAGACACCATCAAGGTCTTCAAACAGAGATCATGTTATGTAATATAAGTAGGGACATCTAAATACAGGTAAAACAAAAGAAATCTTGGACGTCTTATTTACTATGATATTTATATGACCCATTATGAAATGATATTGAAATGTAAAAAAAAATAAGTTCATAGAAGAGATTTAAAATCTATAATGTTTTAATATTTTCAGCTGAGAGAACAGAAGAATGGATATCTATAATGTTTTAATATTTTCAGCTGAGAGAACAGAAGAATGGATATCTATAATGTTTTAATATTTTCAGCTGAGAGAACAGAAGAATGGATATCTATAATGTTTTAATATTTTCAGCTGAGAGAACAGAAGAATGGATATCTATAATGTTTTAATATTTTCAGCTGAGAGAACAGCAGAATGGATATCTATAATGTTTTAATATTTTCAGCTGAGAGAACAGCAGAATGGATATCTATAATGTTTTAATATTTTCAGCTGAGAGAACAGCAGAATGGATATCTATAATGTTTTAATATTTTCAGCTGAGAGAACAGAAGAATGGATATCTATAATGTTTTAATATTTTCAGCTGAGAGAACAGAAGAATGGATATCTATAATGTTTTAATATTTTCAGCTGAGAGAACAGCAGAATGGATATCTATAATGTTTTAATATTTTCAGCTGAGAGAACAGCAGAATGGATATCTATAATGTTTTACTATTTTCAGCTGAGAGAACAGCAGAATGGATATCTATAATGTTTTACTATTTTCAGCTGAGAGAACAGCAGAATGGATATCTATAATGTTTTAATATTTTCAGCTGAGAGAACAGCAGAATGGATATCTATAATGTTTTAATATTTTCAGCTGAGAGAACAGAAGAATGGATATCTATAATATTTTAATATTTTCAGCTGAGAGAACAGCAGAATGGATATCTATAATGTTTTAATATTTTCAGCTGAGAGAACAGCAGAATGGATATCTATAATGTTTTAATATTTTCAGCTGAGAGAACATCAGAATGGATATCTATAATGTTTTACTATTTTCAGCTGAGAGAACATCAGAATGGATATCTATAATGTTTTACTATTTTCAGCTGAGAGAACAGCAGAATGGATATCTATAATGTTTTAATATTTTCAGCTGAGAGAACATCAGAATGGATATCTATAATGTTTTACTATTTTCAGCTGAGAGAACATCAGAATGGATATCTATAATGTTTTAATATTTTCAGCTGAGAGAACAGCAGAATGGATATCTATAATGTTTTAATATTTTCAGCTGAGAGAACATCAGAATGGATATCTATAATGTTTTACTATTTTCAGCTGAGAGAACATCAGAATGGATATCTATAATGTTTTAATATTTTCAGCTGAGAGAACATCAGAATGGATAAATGATGTGGATAATAGAATAAACAATGGTCTAATGATAGCTAAAGAATTACGGTATATTGATTCTGGAGATATCTGTGTCTTAGTAACTGGATGGAAGGCTGGTACAGGCAGGACAAACACTGTGCGAATTATCACCTGTCCCACCTCAGAAAGTCCACAAATGTATGTCAGAATCCATGGCTCCATGTCTGAGGAATTGTTAGATTTAGATGTTACTGATCATCCAATTCATAGATGAAATGATATCTTTTATTCTGCTTGCATCATTTTTAAGGGGATATAATACAGCTGATATTTTACCATAATATTTTAAAAACAGTCAGATATTGTAGATGTAATACTTCCAAAATACTAACAATTTATTGGTTATTTAATACAGTGGATGTAGACTCCCATAGTATGAAGATGTTGATTATATTAAAGATAAAAAGGAGATGTGATCAGTTCAACTATTTGTTTCCTGAAATTGCAAAAAATGTTCAATCCTTTCTTAGTTAAGGTAGCTGGGGTGTCTAAATGTTTGAGGATAGATTTTTCTTAAACTTCTGTAAAAGACTTCTGTATCAATAAACTTTCAAATTTCAATATAACGGTATTGGTCTCACGAACCTTGTTTTTTTCGTTAAAATACATGGAAATGAAAGAAATCACAGTTATTTTATATGGGTTATATAGTGGAATCTTATTTTTCCATATTGAGGAAACATTAAACAATAGAATTAGTTAAAATTCAATTGGAGAATTGCTTTTCATAAATACTTCCAAAATATCAATTAAAAGTAGGGGTCACGGGACTTATTGTCTTGAAGAAAGAACAAAAAATTGTCCTAACAAATTGGAAATAATTATCTGCCCTTGATTTTTGGAACGGATTTTTTTCTAAAAAATTAAATACTCTTAAGGACACTTAATTTTTGATAGTTTAATATTTAAATTTCAACTTTTAGGTGTTTTGTTGTATATTGAATGATACTGAGTGAAATATTTTTAAACCTAAAAAGTATTTTTGCAACATGCCCAGAAGGGATGCTCAGAAAAAGACACCAGATCTACCTCAAGTTTAATGTGTTTTGGTAAATGAATAGGATGAACTTGTCTGGTCATTTTAATGCAGAATATCATTATGATGTTGAAAAATTTAAATAAGTTCCTAAAATGGCACTTTCCCTTAGTTTTTTATATAAGAACCAAAAAAGGTGCTTCATTAGACCATCTTTTTTGAACTCACAGTGCCATTAGAAAATTGTGATGTTTACTTTTGCCCAAAAAATGTTACCACAGAAACTGTATTGTATTCCCAAAGTAAATTTTTTATTCAAACACCATAGAAACTTGGGTTTGTTTTCAAGAATTCTCCACAAATTAGGCATGCGTTATAATATTATGTTCATTATAAAATGTTCTAATTTTACAACAACATGTTTTTCATATAAGTCCTGTATCAATTAAACACTTAGTTTTTAAATATTAGATACAAAGCAAAGAGCAGGCAACTGATTGTCTCTTATTCATAATTGTCCAAACCATTAATTATTGGATTGTTACCTTGTAAAGGTTGAGTTATGGTATATGTGTTACATTTTTTTTTTATTAAGATATTATGAAAGATTTATTTATTTTTTGATAGTATCATTTGCATGTATATTTTCAGCATATAGGCTTCCATTGTTTTATGTTGTTTTCATTGTCTGGGTCATTTTTGGTGCTGTTTTTGTTTATCAGCCACTCTGCTTAAACCACTTGCCATAAATCAAGCCAATAGATCAGTCTGTTACATTAATTGATGTTGTGTACCTCATGTTTATACAACCTGATGTGTTGGGTTGAATATAGGAATCATACAACCTGATGTGTTGGATTGAATATAGGAATCATACAACCTGATGTGTTGGGTTGAATATAGGAATCATACAACCTGATGTGTTGGGTTAAATATAGGAATCAGCTTGATAGTCTGTTTGTGTGAACATTTTTCTCATGGCCTTTGTCCAACTGGGAAGAATAATGGATAATAATAGGCAAATACGTTTCTTTCTTTATTATTTATATGGGAATTTTGGTAAATCAGTACTATATAGGGAGGTACATATGGATGGCATGTTCAGCCTATTCAGTTTGTTTCACATTTTTGCTATTTTAAGCAAATAAATTGCCATTGATTTTTCTTGCCTGTTTTAAGTTTTTATACTAACTCTGTCATCACACATTTCACTTGTTTATAATTTTCTAAACGAAAATACACTGTTAGCTCATAATAGGCAAGAGTTGATGAGGGCAGGATATTCTAGTATACTGAGTTTCTTGATATAATTGTGGTTGACATTAAGAATTCTGACTCTCAAAAACTTGTCACTTTATACATGGTTACAAGTTTATTGGTAAAACTTTATACAATGGTGCTATATTCATTTGTTAGCCATACTTCCCTAATCCATTGTACAATAAAAGCCAGAAACTTCAATATTTTCACAGGTACTGTAGTTGTGCATGTCACTATAAGTAATAAAATAACCTTGATTTCCTTGGTTTCCATACCCTCAAATTTACAAACTTTCCTTATTGAAATAATCAACTGATTGTACAGTTGTATCAGGCAGTACACATCCTCCATTGATGGATCATAAAACATTAACTAAGTCACATTTCTATTTGTATATTTATTTTTAAACCCAATAATAATTTAGTGCCAATATTATATTGTATAGCCTGCTATAAAACACTTTATATGCAAAAATTACAAACTGTAAGTGTAAGATATTGTACAGAATTTACACAGCAAAGTTTTAGTCATTTAATACTGATGGAATTGTCATCCATTATTCTATTTTTTTTACATTATCTATATATCTTGAGAAATCAATTATGCCTTTGTTATTTTCATGGGAAAGAAAACAACTGGATAAAATTGCTTTTATTCAGTAACCATATCATATTAACGTTGTCATATCATCATATAAAATTCCAACAGTTGTATTTGTTTTATTTTTTGCCTTATTTTATTGAGCTGATATTTCATTAATAAGTGTATAATGCAATACAGGTTAACATTTGTTTCAGATTATACCTTATTCATGGAAATATGCCTCATGGACTTTTCATGAAATTGTACTTTCTTCATGTAGGGAACGTGTCAAGTTAAACTACTGTATTTTCTACATGTAGGGAACTTGTCAAGTTAAACTACTGTACTTTCTACATGTAGGGAACGTGTCAAGTTAAACTACTGTACTTTCTACATGTAGGGAACTTGTCAAGTTAAACTACTGTACTTTCTACATGTAGGGAACTTGTCAAGTTATACCACCTTTCACATAGAATCAATAGAAACTTGATAGATTTGGGTTTTACTGTTCTTTGTTACTTAGACTGGAAGAAAAAGAAGCAACCATATCTAATTTATATATAAGATAGATTAAATATGTCATTAGAAGATTGCATAGAAGAGAAAGGATATACAAAAAGGAAAGACTTCAAATTGACCCCCTTGTATGTCTGTGCTTATTCCATCAACAGAGAGGGGTTAACAAGAAAGTATTTCCTACAAAATAAAGACTTATACTTATTACAATGAATAGTGATAGCAATACTTTTATACCTCAGTTGAGTTAGTTGTTTAATAGTGCTACAGGTATAGCTGCATCTCATTTTTATGTTATATATATTGTTGGTTTTTCCATATGTTATATAAGATTTTAACTTTTCATTACTGTGTGCCATGAGAATGGGAAGTTTTTGTTATTTATGTTTAAGAGTAATAGTTATGCATAGAGTATCTAGTCTAGTCTTTATTGTTATTTTGAATTCAATATTATCAACACCATTATTTTTCAAAGAATTTTTGATTTGTTAATTAAAAGTTATGCTTGTTTAATTTCATGTGTCTTCTTACCATCCAATTTGTCCAAAATTATCTTGACATTTAATCCTGTAGGAATATAGTTATGATTATTTATATTTTGCAAAATCTAATACACATATCAAGTAGGATATTTCAAAGCGAGACTTTTAACAGTCATATCCTTTGTCAACTTTTTTCTACAGAGCCATTTGACTAACTTGACTGATTAGATGCCTTCTTAATATTACTTTTTATTCTCCTACAATCTCAATATGCACTAGCTATCACAGGGCCGTAACTACTGACGAGGCAGACGAGGCAATTGCCTCATCTGATTTTCTGGCAAAAAAAACCCAATAATAATAAAAAAAAAAGAAAATGGAGAAAGCTAGGCATGCAGGGGTAGAAAATATCCTTGCATTTTCATATCAAGAACTAAGTAATGCATACTTTGAATAGTAATTAATGTTGAGGGGCAGCTTCTGCACTTTTATTTCAACTATATTAGGTATCGAACTCTCTGCCTGATTACCATTGCCAGTAAACCGGCATTTGGTTCTGCAATTATTTATTTCCAGCAAAAAGTGTCTTGAACAAATTCGAACGTCAGAGATTTTGTTTTCCCAGGAAAAGCTACTACTGACATTACTGGTCGGTTCTTGCTCATGTGAGAGATCTTTTTCTGCCCTTCGGTGTTTTATAAAGACATGGTGCAAGTCAACAATTAATAAGGATAGATTATGAAATTAGCCATGCTTCACGTCCATCGTACAGACAAGGATTTGTATAATGAGACTATACAAACCCTTGGTACGGAAAATGTCGGGCAAGTGATCGAAGAAGCTGTTCTCAAACAATGGGATCGTAGTGGCACAAGAAAGGTCGAACTAGCATTCACATACAGTGACTATCATGACTATAGGTTCCAATCTTTAGGCTTTATTAAAGTGTTCAGTATTAAAATGTGTGTTATTTTTATTGAATGGTTGACCACACACACTTGTCCCGCTTTTTCTAATATCAAACATGTATTTTACTGTAAATTGATACATGTTTGATGGAACAAAATTTGAGGCAAGTATCTGTCAGCCGGCTCTGATAGCCTAATGCAGTTCTATATACGGTAAATATGAAACAAAAACGGATGTAACAAGTTTTATTTCGGACCCTAATATTACAATTTTCGGCAGCCCTCAAACCCCTGCCTTGTCTGTTTCCGATGCCTAGTTACGGCCCTGTATCATGTGCACTTGATGCATCTGTTCATTTCTTTTGAAATGCATATGGTAATGGTGATTATTCATGTACTTAAGGAAATGTCTCATTTATATTATAGCTTATCTATCTGTTATATACTCTGGATTTATTTATATGTTTATTAGAATAATACACCATTTTATTATTGAATATTCAAGATTTAAAAAATGTTTGAAATATGGAATGTTATGAATGTTAATGATAATTAACAGGTATAAGATTTAAAACAATAAATTAAAACAGACACCCAATGTACAGGAAGTGTGAACAAAGAAATGGTTAATTGTGTTCTTTGCAAATGGTTAAAACAGTTGATTTGTGCCCCTGCAATGACAACCAACTGGTAGCCAAGAACACCAATCAAGCATTTCATCAGTGCAAATTATACAATCATTACCATTCCTTGATAAGACACTTTTAAACTTTGAATCTGCCTTATAAATATAGATTCTACCACTGCCTCGAATGTGATACGATATTTATCCACTCGAGACAGTTAAATTTTCAAATTTAAAACGCGAGGCTCGCCGAGCGTTTTAAATATTTAAAATTTAACTGTCGAGAGTGGATAAATATCGTATTACACGAGATTTGGTGGTGGAATCTGTTTCTCTAATGATTTTCAAACAATACGCAGGCAAATTTATTCCTTCTTTTCGAATGATCTGCAAAAAGATGTGTTCTTTCTATGTGACGTCATCAGGCATGGTCGCCTTTTTTCATGCCGTCACAATAGGAAATTCAGAGGAAAGCAAGAAAATTCGACGTCATAATCGGATTTTAACCAATGAAGAACTGAGATCAAACGAACCACACGTTGATTAAATTTTTTTTATACAATGGGTGCAGAAAGGGATAAATTGACGAAGAATTAGAGAAAATATTTTATATGATATATATCTTGTTACACCAAACATGTTTAATGAGAATTAATAGATTCAAATAAATATTCCAAATCCTAGTCATGTTAATTGTTAAATATGTCACAAGATCCCATTTAACCAATGTATAAGCAGCAAAAATGATCAGTAATACAAGATCATCAAAGGAGTTATCTTAGTCATGAACAAGATTGCCATGCTGTAGCTTTATGTCCCCAGCACTGTATAAATGAGGAATTAAATTGTATGTCACAATGTGTCATTGTGGTAAGATACTCAAATTATGGTAAAATTACGATAACTCCAATAAAAATGGTGATACCAAAATGACAGTTCCATATACATGATGGCAAAGTATGAGAACTTTCTGTCAAATGGCCTTAGAGGAGTTGTGTTCACAAGGTATCACTATCAAAATACTCCAAAAATTGTCAGTCATATTACTCCTGTAAAAATGGTTAGATCTAAATGACAGTATAATATGGTCTTCACATTGTTGCAAACATCCTACCAAATATGAGAGAATTCTGTTAGGTGCTATTGTCACAATACTAAAAAAAATTGCAAAGTCCCATAACTCCTATAAAAATGGTCATATCTAAAAGGTGGTCAACTACACATGACGACAAACAATCCTACTAAGTATGAAATCTTTCTGTTAAACAGAACCAGAGGAGTTGAGTCAAAGTCCCATAACTCCAGTAAAAATTTGTCAAATCAAACTGATAATATAGCATGGTCAGGAGAATATGACATCATATAATCCTACCAACTTTGAAGGCTTTAAGTCAAACGGTGTCTCAGTATTGATGCGTTTTGGACAGATGGACGAAGACCATTACCATATCCCCACAGTGCAACGCACAGGGAACAATTATATGTTAGTCTTCAATGTCCAAAATGCACATAAATCCAGGTGAGCTACACAGCACTTCAGAGCCTCTAGTTATAATTATAAGAAGAAAAAAAACCCAACAGGATACCAGTTAATAATATTTACAAGCCTCCATCATCACTACAGGTTAAAAATCAGAATTTTTTTTGGATAAAATTCAAAACAAATCATAAATAAATGGAGAACACAGATGATGCCCCTGCTTGCATATAACTTTATAAAGGGACATAACTCAATAACAGTAAAAGTGACGCCAAATTCGAACTTGATCTGTGTTTTGTGGTAATAAGCATTGTGTATAGGTTTCATAACATTTGGTCGAGGCAAACTAAATTTAGAGAACAGATACCAATTTGGGACGTACAGACAGACGGACAAGAGTAACACTTGATGCTCCCTCCGCTGCAATGGGGGCATAAAAAGACCAAATGCTACCAAACTTTCAGCACTATTGTGCTACTTCGTGGCAGTAAGTTTTTATTGGGGAGGAGGCCAGAGTGCATGGAGAGAACCACCGTCCTTCCGTAGGAAAACTGACAAGATTGGAGTTGAGCGCACCTGCCCCATGCGGGATTTGAACTCACAACCTCAGTGTTGACAGGCTAGTGATATAGTAGTTCGACTACTTAGACCACTCGGCCACAGAGGCCCCAGATTTACTATGAGATATTGATCACATTTTAAAGAAACTAGAAACCTTACCATGTCAGGTAGGCTCCACTTGCACATTTTTGTGTGAGGCACATAAACAAATGATTAATTCGGATACAAACAACTGTGCATGGCATTTTAAAGATATTGGTTTTTGGCACACAGGAAGTAGAACATTGAAGAATTGAAAACGGGTCACACTGTAAAACCCAAGCTTGGTGCCAAATGACATAATGTTATTACTTGTAGTTCATGAGAAATATGCGACAGATTTGTGTTACGGATTGAAGGACAGACATATGATGATGATGTTAAAACTAAATAAATATTATTGCTATACACTTCTGAACACCCAAGGCCCTACAATCTGTCAATACCTATATTGCACAAGGTCATGTTTTTCTTTGACTGTTAATGTCTTTATTCTTAATCCATTGGATGTTGGATGAGTACTGATTGATATTTTAGTCTTAGATACATGATTTTTATACACCCATCAAAGACTGGATATAATATGGTATACCAATGTCTGTCTGTCCATCAACACTTCGTACGATAACTCAAATTGGCTTTAACCAATTCTCATATAACTTTAACACAACATTAGAATTGACAGAAGAAAGTTCCCTTTCGATTTTTTTTATTTTTGGTTTTGTCATTCCAGAGTAACAGAACTTTGACCCTTAGATTTCAGGCAATTTTTTTACAAATCGCGCACTAACTCCAGTATTCCTGAATTGATTTCCCACCAAACTTTACATGATTGTAGGGATTGATGAAAGAAAGCTCCCTGGTGAATGTTTTTATTTTTCTTGTTTGTAGTTCCAGAGTTACGGAACTTTTAACTGTTACATTTAAGGCATTTTTTTACAAATCGCTCACTTACTCCAGTATTACTGGATTGATGAAAGGAAGCTCCCTTTTTGTCTCCTGCGTAACGCGTTGCGGGCGACATGGAAATGACAGGCGTTGTCCGTCTGTCGGTCTTGTTAGCGCTCTCATGTGTTCAATTCTTGCCAGATTTCGAAAATCAGTGCCAATCAATTATTTTTAAAAGAGTTATGCCCCTTGGAAACATTAATTTTATGGAAAATTGGATTGTTTAGCTCTCTCATATGTTAATTTTTACCAGATTTTCAAGAAACTTATATCATAGGTTTATATCAGCAATGTCTTGGAAGAGTTCGAAAATCAGTGCCGATCATCAATTATTTTTAAAAAATTATGCCCCTTGGAAATATTAATTATATGGAAAATTACCGTATGAGCACTAATGTGTACAATTCTTGCCAGATTTTTATGAAATTTATATTATAGGTTTATATCATCAATGTTCTTGAAGATTTAAAAAATCAGTGCCGATCAATTATTTTTAAAAGAGTTATTCCCCTTGAAAATATTGATTATATGGAAAATTGCAATGTTATCGCTCTCATGTGTTCAATTCTTGCCAGAATTTTATGAAACTTATATCATAGGTTTATATCAGCAATGTCTTTGACACTTTCGAAAATAAGTTCTGATCAAATATTTCTAACAAGTTGTGCCACTTGGAAATATAAATTATAATGGAAATCACATTGCATTTGCCCTGAAGCCTTTATTAAGAGAGCGCAGCTGGATACGATCGCAGAGGTCCAACCCTGAACAGTTGGGGGCAAAAATGGACACAATATTCGTGCTTGATACAGGTCTGAATTTGGATTGTAATTAAATATTTGACACATAATAGGTTTTTGACACAGAATGTGTGCTTGATCTGAGTTTTGTGGTAATAAGCATTGTGTAAAAGTTTCATAACATTTGGTTGAGGCAAACTTAAGTTAGAGAACGGAAATGAAAAATTCTGCAATGTTTCCTTTGGTAAAGGGGCATAACTCTAAAAAATCTTTCCCTCAAGATATGGTCATAATCTCAATTCAAATTTCAAATGGAGTTTGCAACCATAATTACCCATTTAAATACATCATAAAAGTCATAAAATAGAAAATGACATACATAATCATGGCTAAAATAAATATTCCTTAATCAGCATTTTTAATAGTAACTTCTAATAAAATGCTCCGCTGGGCGCAGCTTGATACAACCACAGAGGTAGAACCCTGAACAGTTGGGGCAAGTATGGACACAACATTCAAGCTTGATACAGCACTGAATTTGGATTGTGATTAAATATTTGACACCTCCTCATATGTTTCTGACACAGAATGAATGTGGTCTAAGAACTTAAACTTTTTTATAATTTATATATTCAAACCATATCTTTATTATTTGCTTTTATATATAAATCAGAAATAACCAATTTAAAATGGAAAATTTTAAAGAAAAAAAAGGAAAAAAAGGGAAACCCCCCCCCCCCCCCCCCCAATTTTTTGAACCTCCTTATGATTCATCACCCCCAAACTCAATCCCAGCCTTCCCTTTGTGATATGGTACCTTGCAGTACAATTTCAGAGAGATCCATACACTTGAACACAAGTTATTGTCTGGAAACTAGAAAAATGCTTATTTTTGGCCCCTTATTCCTAAATGTTTTGGGCAATTACCCCCAAACTCAATTCCAGCTTTCTCTTTGTGATGTGGAACCTTGTAGTACAATTTCAGAAAGATCCATACACTAACACACAAGTTATTGTCATGAAACTAGAAAAATGCTTGTTTTTTGTCCTTTTTTTGGCCCCTAATTCCTAAAATTTTGAGGCAATTACCCCCAAAATCAATCCCAGCATTCCCTTTGTGATATGGAACCTTGTGGTACAATGTCAGAGAGATCCATTCACTAACACACAAGTTATGTCTGGAAGTTACAGAAATGCTTATTTTTGGCCCCTTTTTGGCCCCTAATTCCTTAACTGTTGGTACCATAACCCCCAAAATCAATCCCAACCTTCCTTTTGTGGTATTGAACCTTATGGTAAAATTTCATAGAGATCCATTCACTTAAACTAAAGTTAGAGTGCGAAAATCAATGTGTCTTCGGACGACGCCAATGTCATACCAATATACGACCGCAAAATTTTTTTGCGGTCGTATAAAAATAAATTGACAGCAAATCAACTCAAGACAATACAACATTTCTTTATACATAATTTAAAAGCAGTGCAAGGGAGGTAATCTAAACATAACATTGTACTTTTAAGTAATTGTCCATTAACCAGGAAACCCTTGTTTTTCCCCTTTTTCCTAAACGGTTTGAGCCATAACCCCCCAAAGCCAATCCTAACCATCCCTTTGTGGTATGGAAACTTGTGGTCTAATTTCAGAGAGATCCATACACCTTTCCACAAGTTATTGTCTGGAAACTAGAAAAATGCTTATTTGGGCCCCTTTTTGACCCCTAATTCCTAAACTGTTAGGACCATAACCCCAAAAATCAATCCCAACCTTCCTTTTGAAGTTATAAACCTTGTGTTTAAATTTCATAGATTTCTATTTACATATACTAAAGTTATTGTCTGGAAACCAAATTTATTTGGATGACGACGACATGATACCAATATACGTATAAAAACAGTATCCTCAGGCATGTTTATCTACAGAGCCGTTTAAATTGCTTTTGACTATTATTTTATTAGTTGTTTTTGGCTTTGAACTAGCTTTCAGTAACTATGAGAACTCTTAGATCTGTACTTTGTGTCTTTTATGTTTTTGTCCTATGTATCGTTATGATGAGTAAAGCCCTTTTCAACTGATTTCAATAATTTTTTCTTATGTTGTGATGTTACACAACTGTCCCAGGTTAGGGGAGGGTTGGTGTGCCTTTTAACATGTTAAACACCACCCACTCTGTATGTGCCTGTCCCAAGTCAGGAGCCTGAAATCGGTGGTTGTCTTTTGTTTCTGTATGTCATGTTTGTTTTTCGTTTATTGTTTTTAACATAAATCAGGCTGTTAGTTTTCTTGTTTGAATTGTTTTTACATTTGTTATTTTGGGGCCTTTTATAACTAGCTGTGGTATGGGTTTTGCTTACTGTTGCAGGGCATATGGTAACCTACAGTTGCTTACTTCTACTTAATTTGGTCACGAGTGGAGACTTGTCTCATAGGCAACCATACCACATCTTCTTTTTATAATGTAGAGGTAAACCAGTATATCCACTGTTTTGGAGTGGGTGTATAAAAATACATCTATGACTTTTGGAGTGGGGGGTATAATAATACATCTATGACTTTTGGAGTGGGGGTATAATAATACATCTATGACTTTTGGAGTGGGGGTATAATAATACATCTATGACTTTTGGAGTGGGGGTATAATAATACATCTATGACTTTTGGAGTGGGGGGTATAATAATACATCTATGACTTTTGGAGTGGGGGTATAATAATACATCTATGACTTTTGGAGTGGGGGTATAATAATACATCTATGACTTATGGAGTGGGGGTATAATAATACATCTATGACTTTTGGAGTGGGGGTATAATAATACATCTATGACTTTTGGAGTGGGGGTATAATAATACATCTATGACTTTTGGAGTGGGGGTATAATAATACATCTATGACTTTTGGAGTGGGGGTATAATAATACATCTATGACTTTTGGAGTGGGGGTATAATAATACATCTATGACTTATGGAGTGGGGGTATAATAATACATCTATGACTTTTGGAGTGGGGGTATAATAATACATCTATGACTTTTGGAGTGGGGGTATAATAATACATCTATGACTTATGGAGTGGGGGTATAATAATACATCTATGACTTTTGGAGTGGGGGTATAATAATACGATTGTCTACAAGGTAGACATTGGTCACCTATACAGACTACTCTCTGTAAGTAGTTCAGACATTGATCACCTATACAGACTACTCTCTGTAAGTAGTTCAGACATTGATCACCTATACAGACTACCCTCTGTAAGTAGTTCAGACATTGATCACCTATACAGACTACCCTCTGTAAGTAGTTCAGACATTGATCACCTATACAGACTACTCTCTGTAAGTAGTTCAGACACTGATCACCTATTACAGATTAATCTCAGTAAGTAGTTCAGAGACCTGAATAATTTGCATTAACAATATTTCAATAACAAGACAAACATATAAGAAACTCAGATTTATTATCTTGTAAAATTGCACTTTCTCATAAGCATGAGCTACAATGACTTTGTAAGTCAAATTTAATGGAAATAAAATAACAACAAAAAACTTTCAGAAAGTAAAGGTCTGGCAACAGCATTAAGGATTTTAAAATTGCATAGTATAATGTTATTTTTTTGGCCGAGTAAATTTTTTAATGTTAGGCAGAACCGAGTTTAGGTTAAAAACAATAAAAAAATAGATTGTCATGAAAAAATGAACCTTTTTACAAATATAATTGAATATCAATTCCACAGATATTTTGCAGATGATGTTGCTTTCAATTATGGGATACTGTTGACAACCTTGGATAAATGTTCTTATAAATAAATTAGACAGATATTTTGAAGAATTTTTTTTCACTCATTGTGGAGGATTGAGAACATGTTTGTTCGTCTGGGGATTTCCCTCCTATGATTGAGCATTTTGTAACAGATATATCTTAAAACAAAAATCTACACTTAGTCAAAAGTCATGTGACCCCTGTAAGGTTAATTAATCAGATCTTTATATAGTCTATCAACGATGTCTACAAAAATCTTAATAAAATACAATACACTTAACAATTAAAACCTCATAAAATTTTCTTCCATTCTGTTACAAATAAAACTTTCAACAATAATTCTGAACTCCACAGAATCTTCTAATTATACACAAGTAAAACTAGTCCAAATTTGTCCTTAATAAATAAAAACCATTTGAATAAAACCAATTGAATATTACACTTTATAAAATCCAGAGTATATCGGGTAAGAAAAAAAGTATCAACTGAACAAGAAATGTTCTACAAATGAACTCATTTTTTTCTCAAAAACCTATGTAAATTTCTGTACATCAATGGTTCACTTAATTTTTAACTAAGTATAAAGTAAGAACAAAGCTAACATTTGTTTATTTTCATTTTAAATATTTGGTCGTATTGCATACAATATGACTAGAATGTTTACAAAAATATGAAGTGATATATTATTAAATACTGGTTTTATAGACATTTTTACATTTCTTTGTACAAAATGCATCCATTTTTCTGTTCCTTTTTTCTCCTAAATATTTTTTTTACATCACTAATTATCTCAAAAAATTGTGAGCAAAATATTATCAAGTTTTATCACTTCCTATCAAGTAACCTGAATTCACCTGAAAATCTTTTTCAATGTTACTGAAGTTAAGTCAAATGTGACCTTATTATAACCAATCACATGTCGATCAATACAATTGAGATCAAAAGAAACATACAAAACAGAATGCATTCTAAAATAAATATATAGTATATTATGAAGCAATACAATATACCCTGACCTCTTTACTTTATATGTACTGATTGTTTTCTTTACAGGTGTATTAATTAAGGATTATCACTTTATTAAGTTCTACTGATTCTGAACAACTGATCTTGTCAAAGGAAACATTTCTTAGTTCATATTAAAATCAAAATGTAGAATTTTCTTTTTTTCTTTTTCTGAATTTTCCTATGTTTCCTGATTTGTTTTTAAACTATTAAATATGAAATTATATAATTTTTCTTAAGATATTTCAAAAGCATGTATACCATTTTTGCATTTTTTTCATGATTTTTTCCCTTTACTATTGCAATAATGAAGGCAAATTTTTTCTTCAATTAAAACATAAACCTAGCAAAATAAATGAGTATTTCAAATAATAACCTAGAACATTAAAACCTGATTCTTAACAATGCAGTCTAATCATGTGTAATGCCTTCTGAATGGTCATTTCAAAAGTTTGTAAAATACAAACAATTCAAAATAGTATATATTACATTTAACCATATTTGTGGTTTTGAGTGCCTATGTAAAACTATAATATTTACAAATAGTCAATTTTTGGCACTTTTGCTTGTTGTATTGTTTCTCCTTTTTTAAAGGCAAAGAATTTAATCATTTAATTGTCTCCTTGTCCATTCTTTTCAAGTCAGGTCATTAAAAGTTCATGTTCTTCAAAATACCTTTATTCTATCTGATGCGAACAAACGAACAGATGAGATCGAAAAATAATTCTCACTTTAAATTCTGTCATTTAAAGCTTGTGAACATTTAAATTGAATATTCCTCATCCAATCTTTCTTCCATACGAACATAAACAGAATCAAAGGATGGCAACACGATACAGTCATACAATGGTTATTATGCAATGGTACAGCAATGAGACATCACCAATTAGCAAGGCCTGGCTTACTTAATGTCATAAAGTAGATCTGACATGAAGATCCTGATCGCATGGAGGAGAAAAATACCTGCAATACAAAAAGATAAATCTATGAAAAAACTTGAGGTGAGCAAACTCACATAACTCATTCCAACAACATTGTCTGATTATCGATTTCATCCCAGGTTTTATTACAAGTGTAAATTGTAGCATGTTTATTACAGTTGTACTTTGTTAAAAGTTTTTTACATATGTCCTCTGCAACATGTTAATCATAGGTGTGCTTTGTTTAAAGTTTTTTGCATGTGTCCTCTGCAACATGTTAACCACAGGTATACTTTGTTTAAAGCTTTTTACATGTGTCCTCTGCAACATGTTAACCACAGGTATACTTTGTTTAAAGCTTTCTAGATGTGTCCTCTGCAACATGTTAATCACAGGTATACTTTGTTTAAAGCTTTTTAGATGTGTCCTCTGCAACATGTTAATCATAGGTGTACTTTGTTTAAAGCTTTTTACATATGTCTTCTGCAACATGTTAATCATAGGTGTACTTTGTTTAAAGCTTTTCACATGTGTCCTCTGCAACATGTTAATCATAGGTGTACTTTGTTTAAAGCTTTTTACATATGTCCTCTGCAACATGTTAATCATAGGTGTACTTTGTTTAAAGCTTTTTACATATGTCCTCTGCAACATGTTAATCATAGGTGTACTTTGTTTAAAGCTTTTCACATGTGTCCTCTGCAACATGTTAATCATAGGTGTACTTTGTTTAAAGCTTTTTACATGTGTCCTCTGCAACATGTTAATCATAGGTGTGCTTTGTTTAAAGCTTTTTACATGTGTCCTTTGCAACATGTTAATCACAGGTATACTTTGCTTAAAGCTTTTTACATGTGTCCTCTATAACTTTTTATTCACAGAAGTATTTTTTGTTAAGTATGAGTTATTTATAACATGTGTTCCCTGTAACATAAGGTTGAATTCAGGTTAACTCTTGAATTGTTTCTTACTTTTAGCTAGTTCTTTCATATAATAAGAAACATGCGTTTTCCTTCAAAATTAACAATTTGACGGTAAATAACTAGATAAACAGTACTGAATATTTTATTAAAACTTACTTTATCATTCCTCTCACATAAGAATTTTAATTTCTGGGCCTTTTTATGCATAAAGACTCCATCCAAATGTCCAGTTTCAGCTGCTCGAATCTCAATAGCTTTGTTACCCCATCCCATTACCTGGCCAGTACTAATGTAGGCTGAAATATACAACAAACAAATCCTATAAATTCATGTAATCACAAATCCTCAGGTAGTATGAAGTCAACCTGAGAGATCTAATCACAAATCCTCGGGTGGTGTGAAGTCACCCTGAGAGATCTAATCAAAAATTTCTCGGGTGGTGTGAAGTCAACCTGAGAGATCTAATCACAAATCCTCGGGTGGTGTGAAGTCAACCTGAGAGATCTAATCAGAAATCCTCAGGTAGTGTGAAGTCAACCTGAGAGATCTAATCACAAATCCATAGGTAGTGTGAAGTCAATCTGAGAGATCTAATCACAAATCCATAGGTAGTGTGAAGTCAACCTGAGAGATCTAATCACAAATCCATAGGTAGTGTGAAGTCAACCTGAGAGATCTAATCACAAATCCTCAGGTAGTGTGAGTCAACCTGAGAGATCTTATCACAAATCCATAGGTAGGGTGAAGTCAACCTGATAGATCTAATCACAAATCCTCAGGAAGTGTGAGTCAACCTGAGAGATCGTATCACAAATCCATAGGTAGTGTGAAGTCAACCTGAGAGATCTAATCACAAATCCTCAGGTAGTGTGAGTCAACCTGAGAGATCTAATCACAAATCCATAGGTAGTGTGAAGTAAACCTGAGAGATCTAATCACAAATCCTCATGTAGTGTGAGTCAACCTGAGAGATCTAATCACAAATCCATAGGTAGTGTGAAGTCAACCTGAGAGATCTAATCACAAATCCTCATGTAGTTTGAAGTCAACCTGAGAGATCTAATCACAAATCCATAGGTAGTGTGAAGTCAACCTGAGAGATCTAATCACAAATCCTCATGTAGTTTGAAGTCAACCTGAGAGATCTAATCACAAATCCATAGGTAGTGTGAAGTCAACCTGAGAGATCTAATCACAAATCCTCAGGTAGTGTGAAGTCAACCTGAGAAATCTAATCACAAATCCATAGGTAGTGTGAAGTCAACCTGAGAGATCTAATCACAAATCCTCAGGTAGTGTGAAGTCAACCTGAGAAATCTAATCACAAATCCTCAGGTAGTGTGAAGTCAACCTGAGAAATCTAATCACAAATCCTCAGGTAGTGTGAAGTCAACCTGAGAGATCTTATCACAAATCCTCTAATCACAAATCCATAGGTAGTGTGAAGTCAACCTGAGAGATCTAATCACAAATCCATAGGTAGTGTGAAGTCAACCTGATAGATCTAATCACAAATCCTGAGATAGTGTTCTACAACCGTGTAAAGTATCATAACATTTAGGAGTTGGGCTAATAAGGGATTTCATCCAGCCTTAATTTAATTGGACAATCAGGTCTGGAAGCACATGAACAATAAACATATTCCAGAAAAAAAATTTAAGAGATTTCATCTAGAAATAAAAATTTTGAAGACTTCCAAACTATGAACACCTATCTTAAACAACTGTGACTATGACCTTCTGATCATAATATATATGATTTTATGATCAGTAGGTCACAGTTGCTTAAAATAGGTCGTCATAGTTCGAAAATCTTTAAAATTTTGGTTTCTTGATGCAATCTCTTAAATAAGCTTCATCACTTTCCCACTTTAAACCACTCGTACAATTTTAATTAAAGCCCAACTAAATAAACCACATGAAATCCCACACAAACATCATGTTTATGTTATTTGCCTATTTCATCATCTGTGACCTAAACCTCTGAGCTTTTGACCTGAAAATTAATAAGGTTCTTCCCCTTCTTTGTATTTTTCATCTATATAAGTTTCATTTTAAATCAACAAAGGAAACTGAAGCTAACATCCAGAAACCCCCATTTCCCCTAAAAAAAGGTTCTTATTTTAGTTACAGCAATCCACCTTGACCCGATGACCCCAACATCTATTGGCTTCTCCCCCTTTCCTATGTCTTCTATTAATGTAAGTTTGGTTCCAATGAGGCATGGGAAACTCAAGTAACAATCTGGAAAACTCAAAGACCACAAATCTGCACTAGTGCTGATGAATTAGCCATATCATAGCTCTAACAACTGACTCAATACATACCAACAGATGTAGGTAATTCTCCCCACTGCAATATCACATTCTTTGATATTCTTCCGCCAGTATCTACATATACTCCCTCATCTGAAAAACAAAACATGTTTAAACACAAATCTAGAAAGAGAGTAAAAACTCTTATAATTTAATATCATATTTTCATTATGTAAGTGAACACAATTTCTGTATTTTCTTGTTAATAACAAGGTTTTATTTTGTAATAAAAGAGGAAATTATTGTGTTGTGTAGAGTGACTTTATACTCATTGGAAATAGTCTCTGAAGTCTTGACAATTGCTGTTAATTGAAAACCACTACATAGATTTACTCAGTCATTAGAAATAGCCTCCCAAAGTCTTGACAATTGCTGCTAATTGATAACCAAAGCATAGATTTACTCATTCATAGGAAATAGTCTCTGAAGTCTTGACAATTGCTGTTAATTGATAACCAAAGCATAGATTTACTCATTCATAGGAAATAGTCTCTGAAGTCTTGACAATTGCTGTTAATTGATAACCAAAGCATAGATTTACTCATTCATAGGAAATTGAGAATGTTAGAGACTCATTCACCTCTACCTACTGTATTTTAATTTTCACCCCAAATGACACAAGGATCTTTTCTGTTTCTGTTGTGAATGTTATTATATTTATCAAAGTTGTACATATATTGCTACAAGTTCGTTGTGTTTTAAGATACACATGTTTATGGTTTTTATAAATAGGTCGGGTTGATTGGATATATAAAAGATTATCAGTAGAATTTCATGCATAGGTAGTTTGTTAGAAGTCATTCAAGTCATTGCAGTCAAGTGTGCTAGAGGCTTTTTTACAAATAAATTATTATCAAAATTGTTTATTTTCAGGTTGATTGTCCAAGATGGGTCGCAAATATTGATGTGATATTCAAAGACAGACATTTTTGATTGAGATCAAATGAAATATGTGTATTTATTATCTGAATAAAAAATTGCATTTTGACTTGTGCAAGTTGCTACTCCCATGTGAGAGTTTTGTATAATAAAGATAAATATCTTAAATTTGGTTGAGTTTATAAATTAGAACATAATGTTATTGATTGAAAAATATCCTCACCTGGTATGACAAATAAACTTATCCTACCCTGGTATGACAAATAAACTTATCCTAACCAGGTACGACAAATAAACTTATCCTACCCTGGTATGACAAATAAACTTATCCTACCCTGGTATGACAAATAAACTTATCCTACCCTGGTATGACAAATAAACTTATCGTAACCTGGTATGACAAATAAACTTATCCTACCCTGGTATGACATATAAACTTATCCTACCCTGGTATGACAAATAAACTTATCGTAACCTGGTATGAAATATAAACTTATCCTACTCTGGTATGACATATAAACTTATCCTACTCTGGTATGACATATAAACTTCTCCTACCCTGGTATGACATAAATAATATACTTACTGTCGTAACATAGTAATAGCTGCATCTGATTGGAGTTGGGTAACACTACTATGGTGTGAGGAGTGATGGGAAGTTGAGTCTGAAAACAAATCAATCATTGTCAGAAAACTCTCAATATACAACCTATATACAATAAATACACTTTAATTTTCAAAAATAAAATGATATTTAAATAGCAAAGTATTAGACAGAAAATATGTACACAGATATCATATGTAACGGATAGAAATATTCTGAATTTAAAATTCTTCTTTTAATAATGAGGTTAAAACTGATACAGAAGAAAAGATATATTGCATACATAGACAATATAGATACACAAGTAAACTGATATATAGAAACCCATGATCTGTCAAACTACAGACGTGTATGTACACAAATGCCAATACAATATATAATGAAAATTAAAGGTTAAATTAAATCAAGCATAATCACTATACACCATGCATCTTTTGCTGCATATTATGGGACAAGTGTACTCGATATATACATCAAGCATGTGACTGGACAGGGGCAGCATTTATACAGAAAGCAGCAGGCCAATATTCTGGTACAACTCCAAACTATTATCAAGGATTATAATTTCAAGATAAAATTACTTTCAATTAATACTGAAAACCTTCCCAAAAATATATATAAAAATGTGTCAAGTGCAAAAGTATAGAAATCAGTTTTTAAATTGAAAAGCCCCTATAAATTTTAAAATAAAACAAAATCAAAAAACAAATATTCAATTTTTTTTTCTTTCAAATCATGCATTTAATCACCAAATTATTAATTTAAAATATTCAATTGGCACTGCTAATAAAAGAAATTTTACATTACTAAAACCTAAACATATGATAAATGAATTTGACATGTATCTGTTATCATTGTAAAGCCTACATGTGTGGAGGAACTTATTAGCAATGCCAACAGTCACTAACACAGGTAGCCATTCTATTAGCAGGTAAAAATTTTACCTGGTTTACATAAAAAGATACACCTGTATGTTGGGTAGTGTCTGTATTTCCACGGAACTACAGTGAAACAAAATATTGGCAAATTTAACTTCAGATTTCACAAATTTACGTTTATGCTTTCTCTCAAACCTTCAAAATCTAAGAAACTGATATAAATAATTTGAAATCAATTAAATTTGGTCAAGTGTTAAAATTCTTGAAATGTATATCAATCATTCATGAGATTAACAAAGTTAAATTCTAGTGCACATTATGCTGAGTCCATAACAGTAAGAAATATAAAAAAGTACTGTTATAAAGGTAGAGAAGTAAGATCTTATATACAACTGGTTAAGTGGGCAAGCTCTTCCTTTATGTATATCTACCTTATAAAAACTTACTGTCTACCAAGCATAAATTTATTGGCCTAGTGGGCAACAGGTTATAGGTTTGGCTAACCCTAAATGAAATCGGTCTGTCACAGTTAAGTAAAAATGAGCTTACTTCACCCATATAATCAGTTTTAAATATCTTGTGCTAATAGCAAATCTGATCAAGCTTAATAAGCATTGACAAAGTAGCCTTTAATTGTGTTATAAGCAAGTGATGAAAGCTATTTCTAAGTTTTTGCAATCAACTGAATTGAAGAATGTTTTTTGTTATTAAGTTTTCTTGTTATCCGACATCATAATTTGAAAAGCCATGCCTGTGTGACCCCTTAGGAGAGCATTGCACATCTATTGAGAGAAATCATATTTATTTCAAAGGTTCAAAACACTAGTATGCATGGAGGGACAAATAAAAGATATACTATAATGATTAATTTTTTCCTGGAAAAATGTGCTACAGTTGATAAAGGGAAACCATCTTGAAAACCAATTCTAATTGTCTTCTATGCTTATTAACAGTGAATTTGACCTAATGAACCCAATATCTAAAGGCTTTCCTCCCTTCCCTATATCTTCCATCTATAAGTTTCATTCAAGTCAAGCAAGAGAAAATCTGGTTACAACTCAGAAACCATTTTTCCAATTTATTTATTAGTATCAACAGTGAACTTGAACTATTGACCACAAAAAACAATAGGTTTCTTCGCCTTCCCTATATCTTCCATCTGTATAAGTTTCATTCCAATCAAGCAAGGGATACTGCAGGTTGCATAGTAAGTGTAATTTTGTCAAACTCAAAAAGTTCTGCTCACACAAAATGAATCCTCACATGACATGAAAAACTTTGATTTCATAGAGACACCATAGGATGCAAAATCTTGTTTGGATTTTAAAAATTTCCTGTAATGCTTTTAAGGACGTGTAATTTCAAAGGGAATATTTCACAACGATCTAGAAAGGCTAGAAATTAGCTTAGTTTTTGAAACATAGAAAGATTTTAGAGTTGTCTCTCTTTGAACAATTAGATGTGGTATCTTTGACAATAAGAAAACTATCTACCTCAGAAACAAAGGACAAGGGCCTATGAAAAAATAAATCAATTATTCCAAATACTTTACCTAAAGGCTAAATGAAAACTTATTATCATGAAATAAAGAATGGTCCTTTTTCATAAAAATTGTAAATAAGGATATTTTTATTCTGAGACAAACTCCAATTACTTTATACAGACCTGTTTACTACATCCACTTTATTTTTAACATTCTTTTAATTATGTATCCAACAGAATAAATACCTTTTTTATACTTCAACCTAAATCTTGTCCCATTAAATGTAAGATAATCAAAACATGCACCATCCTTAGATTACGTAAATAATGATTAATCAATGATTAATCAATCCTATAACCTACACTAGGTTCAGTCATGCTACTAGTAATACTGCTGAGAATAACCAATAACTGACTACTTTCTAGGATCACTACTTCATCTAAAGGATAGGATCATTACAAGTTTAAAAGTTCACATCATGGTCTAAAGGATCACTACAGGGTCTAAAGGTTCACTACAGGGTTTAAAGGATCACTAAAGTGTCTAAGGGATCAATCAAAACTCATCATATAAACTTATGAACATTTTTAAAATAATGCCCAAAGAAAATAAAGTTATGGCAGAATTTTTGAGAATCTACCACCCTCAGGAATCTCAGTTCTATCAACATTTAAAAAAAAACATTTGTCTAAACCCACTAATGACAAACTTTCAATATACACATTAGCCTACATTCTGTGGCCTACGTTCTGGCAGTGAAGGCTTGTCTGTTTATATGATTATCAGAAGCTATTTAGATAAGACCTTTGAAATGCTCGTCTATTCTAAGTAAGATATTCATTCGCTCTTAGATGGTGTCATCCAAATTACTTTTAATTGATTAGCTTTCCAGACTTTCACAATTATATCGTAAACTTACGTGTGAGGGAATGTATAAGTCGTATATTGATGTTGTATCCACGTCTATAGCATGGAATCCACAATTTGATCCATATACGACCTTTAATCTTTGACCTTCTTCTACTAAGAGGTCAACTATCTGTGGTTTATTAGCTAAGTCTGTAAATGACTGAAAGATAAAATAGAGATTTTACTATGAATGATTTCACTTCCAATTAGCTTTTAAATTAAAAGGAAAACATCAATGTCATATCAATGCATGCAAAGAGGAAGAATTCATGGAAATTATTATGTACAAAGATAAAAATTGATTATTGATTACCTGAAGGTAAACAATAGCTTATCTGATAAATCAACAGAACGATGTTGATTTATTCAATAATCTATAATTCATATGATTCACAGGTATTTTTCAATTGTTATTAGATAATATTTATTTTTGATTCACCTGGAGCTAATTAATCAACAGGTAATTGTAATTGATCCATGACAAATCTGCTATGATGTCAACGTGGTTATTCCAATTAATCACAACATCAATACATCAATACAACATAAAACACAAGTTAACATACACTGCATCTTGACAAAAGGACCATGATATCAACATGGTTATTCCAATTAATCATATAAACATTACATAAAACACAAGTAATCATACATTGCCTGGTGACAAATTTATCATTGAATTAATGTAAATTCAATTAATGCAGAATATATGAATATTGGACGTTTCATTTCTATTAGAACTATTAAATTTTTAACCCCATCTCCATATTAAGGAAAACTGAGATCAATTGAATGTAATGTACTGGGTTGTGTTCAATATTGTAATCACTAATGTAGGGCAGAATAGATTTTGACTACTGAAACTAGCCTAGCCGATAAATAGATCTAGATAGCCGAAAATATTCCTGCTATCTATAGAATCCAAAATGGCGTTGGATAGGTTATTACTGATGTCATCATTTTGATAGGCTAGTTATGAAGCATATCATTCAACATAGTTATCTAGGACATAGCAGCTATACTTCTTGCTTCGACACTAAACACAACCCTGATGATATTAAATGATATCATAAGTCTATATCAAAGATTATATAACTTGTATCAGTACTTCACCATAATGTTGTCTCCCTTGGTAGAAACATATGTATAAATAATGCCAACTCTTTTACATCTATTTTTGTTGTCAATTCATAAATGTGAAATATATTCGATAAGACAAACCTTAAATGCCATGAACTTGTGGTAAGGTTTTGGTGCCCAGGCATATATCTCTATACTGTCCAGTAAAGCTATCACTAAAAACTTGATCTTCTCATATTTTACTGAAAAAATGGAAGTTTTGATGATAAACAAATAATAAGGAGATGTTAGATATAGATTGACTGTATAAACATTAATGATGTCACAAAATGTATAACTCCTTGTTGGTCATGTTAATAAAGTGCTTCCTTAGAGTTTATTTGAAGACTGATTCACAGAATTTTAATGTCGTCCATTTAAACTTGTTGGTTTTTACCAAAAATATTTCATTTGGAACAATATTAAGAATTGCAGTATAAAGGGAACAACCATACATTGGCCTGAATACTAAATTTAATTTGTACTCAGCTTGACACAGCCTCACATTCTATCAGTTTCTAAACCTTGTACAACAATTTTATGTTTTGAGATAATGTTTAGTTTTTATATACATGTTAAAAAGTTTCATTTTCAATGTACTTGCTACAGCAACACAGTCATCATTTATTCCATCAAAAAAATTGTCTCCCCTTTTTTAAAATTATATTTCATGTAATATAAAAATTATCATAATAGCACTAACCTATTTTAAAATGAACACATCCTTCCAACTCTCCAACATTGACCCATCCTGCTCTTTTCTCATTCTAAAGAAAAGAAAACAAGACATTTTAACACATAATACATTTCATACAAAGAAAATTTCAACTAATTATTATTTTTCTAATTCATATAAATTTGAATAAAATATAAATTTACCAGTTTATTGCTCGGAGTATCAAAGTCCTAGCTATAATTCTTAATCTTAAACAAATAATTCTCTAAACAGTTAAAATAGGTAATTCTAAAAGGCATTCAGATATTTCATCAGAGATGTCATTTTCAAATAAAAGTATCTTGACTATAATCATGTATAATAAACATGTCTTGTAAATAGTTCTAAAATGAATTGACTGGTCTCAATCACTTACCACTTCTTTCTTAAATATCTTGTTATTTAACCACGAAAGATAAAACACTCGAATCTTGTTTTTCTTCCCGGAGATTGTGACTAGTATATTTTGACCTTCTAAAACCTCCATCTGTTGGAATCTTCTTCGGGAAATCAATGTGTACACTGAAAAGAGAATTGAATGGTCATGTTATGTTTACTAGGAATCCATATTCTGTTTAAAGGTTAACATCTCTTGTGTATATTCTAACGTTTAGGTGAGTCTTCTTACACAAAGATATGTATTTTGTCCACAAACATATACTTTTTAATTGATTGATTGTTCTTTGTTTAATGTTCAGTGATAATTAGAGTAACAAAGCTTCCATGTCCAACCACAAGTACAGCTCACACAATTTTTTTTTTCTTTTGGACATTTTCTCAATTTGGTCTGTGAAACTGGTTTTAATTACAAGTTACCTTTCAGGAGTCAGTTTTTTTAAAAAATTGATCCTTGAAAAAAAGGGGATAAAAACTTTCAACTAGGATATCTTTATGACTTTCCACCTAAGAAGTGTATCTGGACCATGAAAGTTTGAATATACATACAGATCAAATTTGAGAATTTTTTTGTTCCTGTGAATTTTATTTTTTATGCTACATTGATGTGCGTCTTCTTGATAAACAACCATCTCATGGTATCATGGTAGCATTTTCATGTATGATGATGATCATGTCTTCCTGCTCACTGTTACCACATGAGCAGCAACCAATCAACCAATGACAAGGTAATATCACCATAACACACAGGTCTATTTTTAAAATCATGATAAATTTACCTTTTCCTTGACCACTTCTGTCTAGCAACATTAAACCAGCTTCTGTACCAATCAACAGGTTCACACCTACAACAGAATATACGGACGTTTTTATTAACTATCATAGATAGCAAGTACATCTTATATTTAGAGGACCCTCAGATAAAGGCAAAGCAAGGGCAGTTTATTGTTTTATATACACCAGCAATTCAACCTCCACATCAGAGTTTATACCTATAGCAAGGTTATACAATCTCTTCTAAGGAGGGTTGATAAGAGGGGCACTACATGTTTGGAAAGTCAAGTGGTTACAAATCATTTATTGAAAGCTTTATTTTGAAGTAATCAGTTTAAAAAAAAAAACTTGCAAACTCAAAGAACTCCAAAATGGAGAAATCATGGTAATGGAGGTGCTCAGCATAAACCAAACTTGTTACAAATAACAATGTAAACAGTGTTAACATTGGTGTCAGGTATGAACACATGGTCAATTCCATACATCTCCATGTTTTTTTTATACTTGCTATTTTTTGGATGCTGTCTCAATAATTTATACCTTTAATTTCATTCCTTTTCTTTAGTTACAGAATGAAGTACCTTGAAATATAAAAATGTACAAGTAGTGGGAGTTTTGAATGAGTTTTCTTCTCGAAAAAACCTTAGCAAAATAGTTTCTTAATTTTACCCCATAATGCAGCACAGAGTATATCTGATGTAAACTTTTTCTTGTATTTCCTAATTTCAGGAGTATCACCAACAGCTTCAGTTGTTGTTTGTGTCGGGGTCACATTAACATTGATTTGAGAGGAACCACGTCGAGATGCTTGTGAACCAATTGTTGAACCACCAGCGCCGAAACCGAAAGCTGAGAAAGATCTCTGGTGTCTTATTGATTGACTTGACAGACTGACAGCCTGTCGATACTGAAAAGAAACATAATTAAATAAAATGTCCATCTCCTAAGTACTGGTCAATATCTAATCCACTTATATTACATATATATCAATAACTGTCATGATTAATTGTGACACTTCTTTTTACCGATTTCATCAACTCATAGGATTTTTTTATACTTCAATGATTAAAAGAGATTTGTTTATGCAGTATATGGCTCAAATACTCTAGATCAAGTCCTGCAAATGCGTCTTTAAATTGTCAGAGAGTTAATCTGGAACAGCAAGAAGTTCTTTCCTAGGATGATCACTTTTAGGATTGGTCCTGTTATATAAATATACCCAGGAACAATAAACTCTCATATATAAGAAAAAATAGGGAATAAACTTATGTGATCCTAAAAGTCAGAGTTAAGTAACAATAAAACAACTGTGAACAAGACAGAAACTGATTAAATCAAAGATCAGAAAAACAAAAAATACACCATTTATATTTTCAAAAATTATTGAAAGTCCAATAAAGCAAACTTGAGTTATTGTATGAAGTAGAAAGACTTTTTGATGATGAATTCAACAATTCAAATATTATTTAAAAAAAGAAAAGGAGCTTAATACAAGCACTTCCTAAATTGTGTGTAAAATTATGCAAGTCCAATAAAGCAAACTTTAAACTATATAGAGTGATAACTATACAGATCCAAAAGTCAAATGATGCTTAATAAGGACACTTTTCATCTAGTCAAAGTGAAGCCAAAGTGAGACAATACATTTCCTCTATGGCATATCATACCTTTATCATATTATAAACAGTTACTATTATTTTGACACCTAATAATGCACTTCCTGCCAAATTATACATTTTCCTGCTATTTAATCATAATTTGCATCTTTTCTTTCACTAGGATGCCTCTACAAATTAATTAACCAGAACATCTGTCAATGGGTCTCTAAGTACACCAGAACTTAAAACAATACATCTATCAATGATCTCCTCTCATAGAAATAACCATTACCTAGACCTCTCATTATAAACTAACAGATATCATTTAGAAGAGGACCTTCTCATAGAAATAACCAATACCTAAACCTTTCATTTTAACTTTAAAAAATAGTATTTATAAGAGGATGTCAATTTTTCATCATTTTCTTCAAGGTTGTGGTGTGCACACTGTATTATATATTCAGGTAGATTGAGAAATAACTGCGTTCCTCTTGAATTCAAAACAGTTAGTATAACTTGTGCATATATGGGTCTTTAACAAAATGTCAAAGATTGTTACAGTTTTTGGAACAGATATATTTCTGAAATATTGTCAACACAAGTCTAACCTTTTTTTAATTTTTAAAGTGTCACTATATTTCTAAATATCTTATTTTCTCACCTCCATTTTGCTTACCTCATCTGAACTGGATTTGTCTTGTGGTCTCTGTGGTGTGGGTGGGGATCGTGACTGTGGGGGTGTGTGAGGTGGCAGTAAGTCTGGTAATGCTCCACTGCTAGCACTATGCCGTGGGGACTGGAAAGCTGAAAATATTCATTTAACATACAACTAAGTATAATTTTGTTTAACATACAATAAAGTATATTAATTTTAACACCTTAGTCTGCCAATTTAAATAGCTTTAATACAAAAAGATCTGACATGCTTGTTTTTGTTGTTGTTTTGCTTTTGTATATGGCACATGACTACGACTGCTATTTATTACTTTTAAGAATAGCCTAGGCTGGATTGAGAGAAAGGTTTGTATATTTGTATGTTGCCTCACTTGATGGCTACAGGCCCTTGTACTTTTACTTTAAAGAGTTGCTTCTTTATATCTTTCATTTACATGCTACTATTATTCCACTGTGGAGGCAGTATTTTTATCTGTGAAGAAACTGAAAAGTACCCTACAAACTGCTAATTAAGTGAACACTATCATACATGGCTGCTATATTCTGCCAAATCAAGCAAATACAGCATCAGATAGATCAAGCGCACCCCTGCAAAATACTGATAGGTCATATGCTGAGACACCCAGTTTAACCTGTTAAAACTGAGTACATCCAATAACAAGTAATAGCTTTTCGAAAAAAGCTAGCCGTCTCTTAGCTGATAAAAGTGGAAAGTGTTCTCGCTTTGTAGATTAATTCATTCAGAATAGCCTTGCATATTAATCAACACATTTAACCACACACGTTATGAAGCCGTAGTATATTGTTTAATGTTGTGTGTCAAATAAGGTCCTTATCGTACTAATCCTTCAAATCATGGTTGTAAATGCTTTACATGTTTGTCAAACAATTCATTCTCTCATCATGAAATATCATAACCATGTTCAAGTTTTCTTATGTTTTTCATGTATAAAATGTACGTAACAGTGAACGACTGGATTCATGGATTGAATGTGAAACAATCATGTGCGTGTTAACAAACCATCAGGAGATTGGGCTATTTATAGATAAAGGTTACCTGTGTATCGACATGCATGATTTGTGACTAGGCAAAATCTAATTGCTAAAATAGAGAGTACAAATCCGATACTCTACGGGATTGAAAGACATTTACTAGGTTTGGATTGTCCCAACCAGTCAATGAACTTTAATTATTCACGTCTCAGTGATATCTTCCAATCAGGTAGCAAAAAGCATTCAGCCCGCAGATTGTCCATCGTTCAATTCTTAATACCGTCTACAAGGAGACGTTAATAAAATCTGAAAATAAGTCAAACACTATCATACAAGTACAGATATCACTTAAACATTACTACATACATACCACTAATTGCACCAGGTGCAGAAGAATTGGATGTTGTTTTGACAAGAGGTGGCTTTGATCTATGAACAGCTTCACTCTTTCTATTTCGTTCATGATGTTGTTCCACAAAAGCTGTGTCAGACTTGTTCTGAAATAAACAACAGGTAGATGATAGTTACATACAATGTATAAGGTAAATGAAGATTTCAACAAGGGGAGACAACAAGGCTAAAGATTAGTAACAACAGTACCAAATAAAGGAAGATTTCAACAAGGGGAAGGCAACAAGGCTAAAGGTTAGTAACAACAGTACGAAATAGATATAGATTTCAACAAGGGGGAAGGCAACAAGGCTAAAGATTAGTAACAACAGTACGAAATAGATGAAGATTTCAACAAGGGGGAAGGCAACAAGGCTAAAGATTAGTAACAACAGTACCAAATAGATGAAGATTTCAACAAGGGGGAAGGCAACAAGGCTGAAGATTAGTAACAACAGTACCAAATAGATGAAGATTTCAACAAGGGGGAAGGCAACAAGGCTAAAGATTAGTAACAACAGTACGAAATAAAGGAAGATTTCAACAAGGGGGAAGGCAACAAGGATAAAGATTAGTAACAACAGTACCAAATAGATGAAGATTTCAACAAGGGGGAAGGCAACAAGGCTAAAGATTATACAACAGTACGAAATAAAGGAAGATTTCAACAAGGGGGAAGGCAACAGGGCTAAAGATTAGTAACAACAGTACCAAATAAATGAAGATTTCAACAAGGGGGAAGACAACAAGGCTAAAGATTAGTAACAACAGTACCAAATAAAGGAAGATTTCAACAAGGGGGAAGGCAACAAGGTTAAAGATTAGTAACAACAGTACCAAATAAAGGAAGATTTCAACAAGGGGGAAGGCAACAAGGCTAAAGATTAGTAACAACAGTACCAAATAAAGGAAGATTTCAACAAAGGGGAAGACAACAAGGCTAAAGATTAGTAACAACAGTACCAAATAAAGGAAGATTTCAACAAAGGGGGGGGGGGGGGGGGGGGGGGGGGGGAAGGCAACAAGGCTAAAGATTAGTAACAACTGTACCAAATAAATGAAGATTTCAACAAGGGGGAAGGCAACAAGGCTAAAGATTAGTAACAACAGTACCAAATAAATGAAGATTTCAACAAGGGGGAAGGCAACAAGGCTAAAGATTAGTAACAACAGTACCAAATAAAGGAAGATTTCAACAAGGGGGAAGGCAACAAGGCCTAAAGATTAGTAACAACAGTACCAAATAGATGGAGATGACCAAAATTTGGTTTAAAAAAAAAAAGAAAAAAATTTAATAGTAATGCCCATCTTTTACCATTCAAGATCTTTTTAATGAAGAGTAATACCCTCAACCCTTCTATAGCACCCTTTATTTAAACACCTGATTTAACCTTTTCAGCCATGATCCATATTCTCTATTAGTCAAAACCTTTTTTATGAACTGATGATTCCTGTAGTTTTGTTAGACAACTATAGTGAGCCTGCTTGAGAACACATAAAACATCAATAGATAAACTATACAACATCATGTTACTAGGGAATTATTAATGTATCTTGTCATTAAGGTACCATTGAGAAATGTTTTATCCTTACCAACTTTACTTATATTTTATGACTTTCTATTAGAGTGGTTTATTTTTGACCAGAGTAACCATCATCCAATACTTGTGGAGTGCTCTACTTCAGAATCAATTTAAAAGGGATATTTCGAGTTTGTCAGAAGATATAATAATTATCTCAGGTACATTTATTATTTTTTTCCAATTCTTAGCAGATCTTATTTTTAATGTTTTATTTAATGTTTGTGTGGTTCACAGCACCACACAGAAGGTGGTTCACAGCACCACACTGAAGTTCACAGCACCACACAGAAGTCTCCCCATCTGACTTCTTCACAAGAGAGACAAAAAAAGCAACAATTCATTGAACCAATAACTGACAAGTTGAATGGTTGTTTTTGCTTGTTGTCTAAAGTTTTTACTCCATTTTCCATATTTTTCAAAATAAAGAGTAACTGTCATTTTAAATTTGTGAAACAAGAGCAAGCTTTAATATTGGAGTGACATAGAATATTTCTCAATACTGTTACTTGTATCACTAATAGTAAAATTGGAAGGATTCGGTAGTTTGACCAAACAAAAGATATGACATGCTACTATAAATAGAATACCCCTTTATCATGTATGTTATATACTTTTTCTTATTAAGACATGTAAACATTAAGTATTTTTAACACACTTTAGGTTTTTCCTGATGATTTACTCTCAAGAACACGTTCCTTTTTTACAAAATCAATACAAAAACTCTTAAACTAAGGAATTGTCTGTGGTATTTCAATTATTCATATCACGATTTCTTTCAGCAAATCATTCTTAGTTGGACTGATTTAATTTCAAAATATAAAGACATGAATTAGTCATTTTTATTTTAAAGATTTAATTATATAACCTCATACAATTTTCTGATAATTCACAGAAAAGTGAACACAAGTAGAATTTACCAAAACCCGAGTTATTCCACAGGGAAATCTTTACTTTCTATCTCTATGATTACGAAAAACGTATAATCCAATTTGTCGGTAAAATTCTATCTAAGACATGAATGACCATGCCTAACGTGATGTGATATTAAATAATACTCCAAGAATCTTCTGGAGAATCAGAAACTCTTGTCAACTTGTAATGGATTCACATCTTTGATTAACAAACCTATCAATTGTATAAAGCCTGAAATTTGTTGTAAGTGATGGGGAAGTGTCGATATGACAAACATTGATTGTATCAATCTGAGCAAATCCTCTATTTCCATTATTTCTCCAATTTCATGTGTTGTCTTTACTGATCATATCAAAAATTGGGAAATTACTTTTTCGAGAAAATAAATATTTTTTATACTAAATCGGATTTAGTCTCAAAATGTAAATTATCTAAGTCATAATAACAACTACTGAATTCAACAAAAACACTGAATGAGTTTAATCTAACTAAAATTTGGTCAACTGGTCAACATTTTGTCCTTTAATGGCTGCATAACCTGAAGAAGAAAAAATCTTCTAACAAGAGCTATGTTTTAATCTAGAATATAGTCACAATTTTTTTAATTTGTAATCTGGAGAAATTACAAAAATTCAATTTCAGGGCCAATTAGGCCAAAAATTACACCTAATACTCTTTCAATGTTCTTCCATTTAATCTACTATTATAATACACTGTCTTTGAAAATGACTATATTTTAGAATATTACAGATGCATGTAAATTTTAGTTTACAAGGCTGAGAAGTTTCATTAATTTCTCTTCCAATTATCTCAGTGAAATATGACATAAACTGACTATTTGCCTCTTTCAAGTTAACATATGGTTTACAAACATAAACGCAAACTTTAAAAAGTTTAATTTCAGAACTAGTTAGCAAGCTGACATTTTATAATTACATGAGACACACACTGTTCATTTCATCATCAGAAATCTCACTAACCTGTCTGGAAAAAAACTTAAAAATCATTATATTATTTCATAACCATCAAAATTAGTGCAGCAGATTGATTACCATAACAGTTGTATTTAATTAAAGTATTTTTTGAATCAATAGGGTTGGCTTCCGCATGCCAATACAGGATCTCCTTCGAAGGGTAAAGAGCACTTGTCTGTTATTCCTTTCACCAACAGTTTACAGAGAGGATGCATGAGTCAGATTTCTAAGTAATCAAGACTTTGACAAATCATTGGAGATAGCTGTCATTAAGAAAGAAAATGAAGATATTATCCTCAATTTTCTATTCTCTACAACTGCAATTTATCCTATGTTATCCTGAAATGCCCTTCTGATGACTTTCTTCTTTAACTATTACTGGTTTTTGATATGACTGCTGGGAAATATTCAATCAACTGTTCAATACACAGTTACTGCAGAAACCCAAATCAGCTAACCAACATTAAAGCTTTAACATAAAGATAGGTTTGTTCAATGTAGGCCCTAGTTATATCCTAATATTAAAGGTTATATTTATTAATTGTTTTTACTGTCTTTGTCAAGTGAGGCTACTTAAAATTGTCACCAGGTAGCCAAGTTACCTCCACATTAAGAACATGGCCTGGCAAAACTTAATACTCGTCTTATTTAATAGACTCCTTTAATAAAGCAAAGGTTCAGACAGCTTCAGTACAACAAAAACAAGCCATTATATATTTTTTTTTACAATCCTGTAGTTTGAAAAATGATGTCATAAGAAACAATTTAATTCACCATTTGTAGGTTTCCATTGCAAAGTATTGTAATTTAGACTACCAAGATCATTTATTTGTCAGTAGTTTTTAAAAGAGTCCATTGTTATAAATTAAAATGTAAAGACCAAACCAGTTAGTCACTCACATAACTATATAGATCTAGGATTACAATATAAACTACTCTATCCTATATCTACTGGGTAAGAAATCAGCCATAATGACTGCGAGGTTACTAGTTGCCGATAAGTTCAAACTTTAAAATACTGTTTCCTTAATAAAGTACAATCGCCCTTCCTAATAAAATCTCATCACAACCATGCCCCTTAATTCAAAATCAAATAAGACCTTTCAAAGCTTAACAGACATCCAATTATTTTTAACATTTAATACTTAAAGAAGCAGCTGCTTCAAATGCCAAAAGTTAACACTTTCTTTTTGTAACTGACTTAATTCAATTATAGCAAACCAATTGATGATATTTTAGAGCAAGCAAGAGCATCAATTTTCACCAAAGCTATAAAAGATCACCAAGTTCTTCCATAAGACAATCCCTAAAGACTGAAAAGAACATCATTTTATAGGATAAAAGATCTGTCATTTTCACAAAATGACATTTCCAATTCCCTACTAGAGTATTTCATTCCCATCTAGACATAACACAGTATACATTCATCAATATTTCTAAGGCTGGATTATTACATATTCCATTTTTTCCCATCTGTAAGCCTTGTAAAAATTATTAAATAGTCTTTATAACTGCATTTTTTAAATTTCTGTAATAGCAGTGAAACTAGAGTACTCTCACATGGATAGCTTGTTTAGGTACAAGGAGACCTACTACGCTCTCATTGGTCAACTCCTATAAATATTACTTTCTTTCATA